GATCGATAAACAATTGAAAATGATTCTGGTTTCTTGTTCTTCTCCTTTCAGTCATTGAACAGTTTATTACTCAACTTTACTATAGTAAAGAGTCGAACGGTGACAGTGTCGGGAAGCGGAAATGATTGACTGTTGAAATGTACTTGATCATGATGGGAATGGTCAAGATAAATAGATATTCTGTATTGATATTCCCTGAAGGGAAAGAATGGCCGCAATTTAACAATTGTTTACTGTTCGACTATGATAACATGTTTTCCTTTCTCATTCATTTTCTCTTTACTCGGGTTTCATTCTTGTTGACAACTTTTTCCTCCTTCTCATCACCATCATCATTATCATTATAATTATCATGTTTAACTTGATCATCATCATCATCATCATCAGTTTGATCCATCAGTTAAATTATTTATGAGATGATCAAGAAAGAAACAAGTTTAACCCATTGAGAGTTGATGCGCAAGTAAAGTGTACAAAAGTGTAGGCGATTACAATAACATCAACTAGACAAACATTGAACAATTTGATCAACTTTTAACCTGATCAAATGAGTTTCATTCAATTTCCTTCCGTTTATTGATCGCTTATTAATTTGTCTAATTTCATAATTTTAACCCTCAAAACAAACATTGACTCGAGTTGATAACATGTGTGCTCAATGGTGCTTCAAGTTGCCTTTTTGTCAGGTTTACTTTTTTATGGATGATACTTGCATGTAGACGAAGATGAACAATATTGATTGAGATTGGGAAATGTGGGTGAAACCATTCCACGAAGAGTTTTGGGAGAATGTCGAAATTCCTATTTCCAGATCACTTTGCAAATTATTTTTATCTAATTTACTGTTGATTCTGAAAAACTCATTGTTTCATTTGAATTTCCATTCATGAAATAAATTTATGTTTGAAAAAAGTTGGTAAACTAGGCAACTTCTGAGATCCTCTTTTGGGTTGAGTTTTTAAAAGGTACAGTATTTTTCAAAAAAACTGTCACTTCTCTATGCTTGTTTCAAGATGGAATATCTCTGATATTAGACTTGAAAATTTTATAAATTCTGGAAAGGGACTAAAACGTGTTCAGAGAGCTCGAATTTACAAAAATTTCAGCATTCAGAGTCCAATTTGTATGAAATAATTGTCATTGAAATGACCTCAGTTGCCTAAAATCATGAAAAAAGACTGCAAGTCTGTTTTGGATTGAAAAATGCCACAAACTAAGGCATTAGCTTTGCTAATGTGTGCTAAGTCAGTCGTATAATCATTTTTATCGTTGAAAATAAAATTATAAAGTCAGAGTCTTAGGCTAATAAGCGTTAATTCGGGTCGGACACCTAAATTTCAACCAACCAACAGGTGGCGCTTATCATTTCTCCATAATAAACTCCATAGAAGTTTTTAACTTACATAATTTTTTCACTAAAAACTCGACTTGTTATGTGCTTAAAAGTCGAAGGACAGCACATATCATACTAATTTTTTTCAAATTTAATCTTTGACTCATATAGTTTCAGCTCAGTTAATCTTAATCATCTTATGTTTATAATTAATAAAAAATAAATGTTTGTATTACTGACAATTTTTTTGAAAAATACTGTAACTTTGGGTTAGTGTTGTGCTCGATCGATTCGATCATCGATTTAATCGATTATCGCTTGCCAACTTTGTGATCGATGATCAACATGGAAAATCGAAAATCGAAAAAGAGTATGGTTGCCGTAAGATGTTAGATTGGGGTTAAATTAAAAACTGAAATTAAGATTAATTAGGATTTATAAGTTTAGAGCTAGGATAGAAACGCTCAAAAAAAGTCAAAATTAAAGCGTCAAAAATGTTAATTTATTATGCGTTCACGATTCTCTACCAAAATGTTACATTTTATAACTTTTATATGTTGTGTTTCAATGTTTTGTTTACATTAAAAATCGATCGATTTAATCGATTTTTTGAGTTTTTAATCGAAAAAATCGATCAGCCCTAAAATCGAAAATCGCCCATCACTACTTTGGGTGTTGAGAAGGATTAATTTGGACCTTATCTGGTTCAGATTTAGGTTGAGTGTATGAATCAAATTTATGAATTAGAAATGGATGAAGCCGAAATATGGAAACACTCCATGCTGTATCTAGAATCAAATATTGTAATGCCACTGATTATATTTCATGATGAACTTCCTTTTGAGGCTTAACAATGTTAAAGTAAGATGTTTAAAGATCGGTTAAATCACATGGAGTCTATCCATTGAAAGAGCGCTAAAAGATATCTGGATTGATGTTATTCAGAGAAACAAGCTCTCATCAAAATAAATAGAAACATTGAAACAATAGAAACGTATAATTATGTTTTTTTAAATTTTCCGGTCAATAACATGGAATACAAAGGTCAATCTTTATTAACCTTTCCATTGCCTCAAAATTAGCCAATTAGCTTATCCAATTGACAAGAAATTAAAGACTCGATTCAATATAAGACCAGATATTATGGTTTACTAGCCACAAATCACATAATAAGATACTAATTTTGTAAAGAAAACCTTTTTTTCAAAAAATCATTAATATATTGAATTAAAAACATTGAATAGAGTCAAATTAGATTGAAAATTATCCAATTCTTGGAACTTCATTTCTTCCAAATTTCATTCAATACTTGTTTTGATTTGTCATTAACGATGGGTTTATATGAAAATAACCTTACTTAAAGTAAACCCAAAAACATATTTTTAGGTATTCTCGTTAGTGAATGGTTACCATTAACAAGCAAAATAAAAATACTTTACGCCAATGGTTCAGGTGAACCTCATGTAATGTCTTACCAATTCAATTAGTTAAAGATGTAAAAGGATCGAAAATAGATTGAAAGCTGAAAAAAAGAGATAAATCAAGTTAAATTGAAATGTAGGTGAATCTGAAGTTTGAAGACAAACAAAAAATGTGTATATTTTAGGGCAACATTTTGATTGTCATCCAATTTCATCTGTTGACAGAACAAATCATGAAAATAACAATTGTATTGACACTTGAGCTTTCCTCTGATAACCAATGTCCTCTTCATCTCGTATCATCACATCAGTACAACAATCATACTCACCATTATACAGTGAACATTCAATCAACTGTTTATATTAATATTATCCAAGGGTCGACATTGAATAATGGCCACAGATGATCATGTTCATGAGAAAAGTTTCTCATTTAAACAGCAATTTGTTAACTCACTTTTGATTCATGTTTTTTTTCCTCCTTCCACTTCACTCTTGTACATTAAATTAAGTGTTGGCCTGAAAAATGTTAACTTTTCTTAATGATTGTTCCATGTATAGATGAACAATTTTACTCCAGAGTCTACTTATCATAAGCAAGTTCAACTATTGAAATAACTATCATTAACAGAAGTAAGATGGACTAGTTCTGGTTCAAGCTTGTTCAACTGTTATTAATTATTTAAAGTCAACAATTGCACTGAACTCTTTTACTTTGGCAAGTTTGTTCAATCAGCCTTTACAATGATAACAACTACTTTGAATACACTTTTAATTTCAATTTGAGTTGTTCAATGTTGTTGTTTTTTTCCTGGTGAGTGTATTTTTCAATTCAGATAACGCTGGTTGTACATTTTTGCTAATCTAACTTTTAAAGGTAACTCTTGAGATTAATCAATTCAACTCTTGTTGCTCACAAAATTTCAAGCCATCATCATAAATCATGGGTAAAAATTGAAATTTGCTTTACAACTGTTCAACAACACTATTATTATACTAATTTAAAGTTGACATTGTTAAGATTAAAAAAGGAAACTTCATTTTTACAGAGTTAAGCCCTGGATTAATGAAATTATTTGGCTTGTAGATGTTGGATGAGCACAAAGATTGCTAATAACATCAAATGATGTTAACGGCAATTAACTCATTCTGTGAATGTTTCTTTCACTTTTATCCTTTTTTACTATGAAATTTATTAAAAATGGATCATCAATTGTCTGTTTTGCTTCAAAGTGAATCCTTGAACTGACTTTGTTCACAACAAAAAAAGATGATTGTGAAAAAAAAGATAAATCTGAGTCTTTTTTTGCTCTCTTGGGCTCATCATGAAGGACAACAATAATGTTAAGAGAAACAAAATTTGACAAAACAAGACCAAGTTATCACTTTTTGCTTTGCCTTTCTTTTTGTTGCTTTTTCCTTGGTTGCTTCTTTCTTGTGAATGTATTGTCCGATGTAAAGATGCTGGTCATTTTCTGTGGACATTTACAGCTTATTATTATATTTTTGGTTTCAATCACATGAAAGATTTGCTTCTTTTCAGATTTCTTTCCATTCCATTAGATGAGGCCAAAAAATTTTGTCAGTTTGCTTTTTGTTGCCCCTAAAAACTGCGAAAATGGAGAAAATGGAAAATAAATAATATCATGAAATAAACATGATTCAATGATGGCAAGTTGACAATCATAATCTCGAGCTTTTAAATCAATCACATTATCAGACATAATGGACGGTGGCAAGTTGAATTATGAGACAAACATAATGTCCAGCTATTAATAATAATAACACTATTGATTATTTTCATACTAAAGTGAAACAGATTCAAGCAAAATGATCTCTTGTTGATGTATCAACAGTAAGCTAAATTAATCGTAACAGATCGCTAAATTATGATTAATTTAAAAAGTATAGATTTGTAACAGTGTTTTAAGTTGCAAGTTGGTTAATAAATAAAATGCAGGATCGATCAAGGTTTTACTTCCTTCAACACTGTTTATTAATAACTTGATTTGCTTCTTTCATCCGATTGAATCCCTAATTACTTGTAATGGTTTTATGTCTTCAAAAACCATTTATAATTCAATTCTTTCCATATGTGGCAGCAGATGATTTTTCTTGATCTCAAATTCAATTGCCCGAGTTTCTTGATTTTGTATTCAGACAACTCTCTATCCGTTTCATTGTTGGTTGTTTTTGGTGAAAATTTGGAGATATATTTTGGGTCTAAAGAAAGAGAAACAAGAAAATTAGATGAATAACAAGCTAGAAGTGAACATGATTTAATTTTAGGGAAACTGCAAAATTCAAGCATTTAGTTTAATGAATTTTTTTGTTCAACGCATTTATTAATAAATGTATGCTCATATATGAATGTATGTATGTTATATGTATAATATGTGTGTTTTTTGTGAGTCTTCATGTGAAAATTTGTAAGCAATATTTCCATTTAGATGATAATGAAATGCTCACTTTTTTGAGGCCATAAAGAATCAAGAGAAAGAGATGCAAGCATACAGTTCTTTATCTTAAGAAATAAAATAGTTGGTTTACTGGGTGAACGATAGAGATAGGAAGGAGTTAGGAAAAGGATGTACACTATATTATCTACAGAGTTAACTTTCAATCTGCAATAGAAAGTTGAGCAAAACCGATGAGAAGCTTTTCATCAGGTACTTCTTTCTCATCTCCGTTATTATCATGGCTCTGGAATGGAAAAGAAAAAAAACAAGATTAGTAAAAAGCAGAGTAAAAAACATTATAATAGTTAATGGGAAGAAAAAGATGAAAGTAATTGATGGATTAAATAAAGTAATGGTAAACAAAAATTGAGATGAGAAGTAGCAATGAAACGCTTTTGTCAATTAGATTAAGAAACTTCAACTGATAAGAATTAACCATAAAACGAATTAATAATCGATTTAGTTGGTTTAATGTACGATACAAGAGATGGCTGGAGATTGATATGTTTTGACTAGATTTTGATGGTTGAACAATGTTAGTCTGATATTAACTTTTATGCAAAATAAACTACATTAAGATTTGAGAGGTTTTTTCCTTGTGATTGACCTATTTTTTTCTGGATATAATAGACAAAAGAAGATACAATGTGACTGGCAGTTAACCAATAGATCAATACTAGACAGTGTTAAAGTCATGATAAGACAAAATTATGAGTTGATATCTTTAAACTGAAAAATTGAATTCATCATTGTGAACGTTGAGAGAATGAGTTTCACATCAATTGTGCTTTTAACAATGAACTACAAAAGGCATTGAAGACGTCAATTTTTTCACAGGTTACCTTTCAAAGTTTCCCTTTTAAATATTGATACATTTTCGTCCGATAACTTAGACAATTGATATTTAAAATAAAATAGAAACTCATTCTCTATTATTGTAACATGAAAGCATCTTTTGAAACAAACGGTTTGTTAACAATATGACGCTAGTAATTTTTTGAAACTTGTTTTACAATAAGACTAATAATAATACTTGATTATTCCTTTTTTTTGTTACTCTTATTCATTTTTTAAGTTGGCATGGTGGAGGAAGAAAGTAAAAGAATGAAAGACTGAATGAATGACTAGAAGATAGAGGGAGAAAGAGAGAGAAGGGAGAGTGAATCAGACTGAGTGATGATCGTGAATTTTAAGAGTTGTCTGCGAAAAGAGAATTGACTTCCTCAACAATTACAGTGTTGATGAAAATGCGTAGTTGTTGATTTTTTTTCTCGTGGCTATACATCTACGTACAAAATTCAATGGAATAGCTGAAGAATAGTCTTTTTGTTTGCTGACTTCAAAATTTTCATCAGATTAAAACACTCAAATCAAATAGTATCATGAAACATGTGGCCTTGAAAGTTGAGTTTAAAACTCTCAGAATAATTAGCTGAAAGAAATCAGGTTTCCCTGTTTTACCTAATTTTTACACTTATTGAGTGAAGTTAAGCAAGATAAAGAAAAATATATATTGCCTCGGATAAAGGGTAAAGTGCAAAAAATCGTAGGTGTTGAAAAGCAATCAAGTTAAAATATCATAATAGGGCGAGAAATAAGGAAGAATCTGAGTGCTATGGATGCGGAAGAGTCTGTAAATAACTGAAAATGTTATAAAGTACATGAGAATGAAGGTGAGACGAAAGAGTCTGTTAAAGCTGATTGACCTGAGAAGAGTACAAAGTAGGATGGAATGAATGAAAAACATTTACTAACCAAAGCAAAGATCACATTTTTCATAGAAATATTTTGCTCGAAGTTGGTCTCTATTAACTTTTGAAGGTTCGAGGCAACGGTTATCACATCACGATTATCAACTAATCCGGCTTGGACAAGCTCTTGGGCAATTCCTTCAGCAGTATCTGTGAAAATAAAAAATACAAGATTTGTAAGAAACAATTTGAATTAAACATTGAAAAAGGTAAACATCAAAGTTAAACATTGACCAACCTCTGTCTGAAGAATACTCAAAACGAATATCGTTCAAATCTTTTTGTGAATTTCTTATTCTTAGAACAAGATTGATAGTTTGGGGCGATGGAGCAGGATTATTGCTACCACAGGAATCAGATCCACTTTGCGGGCCTTGATTGGCATTTGAAGGCACTTCGTGAGAGGTTGAGGATGAGGAGGAGGCAGAGGAGGAGGTTTGGTTATTTTTTACACCATTTTGACTACTTTCTACATTGTTAATATCAATGATATTATCGGAGGTGCTACTACTACTAGCATTATTATTTATATTATTATTGGTTGTTGTAGGTGACGCTGAATTATTATTATCAATCTTATTGTTATTTGGCTGGGTTCCGGAGCCAACTGATGAATTGGCTGATGAGTCTTTATTGGCGTCATTTGGATCGGAGGAATCATCATCTGATGACCAAACCCAGTCCCCTGTTTCTGTCCGGTGTAGTCTCCCGCTGGCTCCTGGTGGTCTTTTAACATTTTTAGCTTTCTTGGCTCTTTCCTCGATGCTTGGGGCACAGGGTAAAAGATTTTGAACAAGATACTTTTTATCCTTTGCTTTTCTCATGAAAGGATGCTTAAGCAGCTCAGTTGCAGTTGGCCTTTTCGACGGATCCTTTTGTAGACAATCACAGATCAATTTCCTAATAGATTTACCATAATTCTTGTATTGGTCCTTTTCCTCAGCAACCGAATCAAGAGTTGGAGGATCATTTTGAAGAGTAAGCATTAATACCTAAATATGTTGAAGAAAAAATGATGAAAAGTTGTAAATAAATCAATGAGTGATTTGAGTAAGCAAATTATTAACACATCAAAGAGTCAACACATGCAAAAGTTGCTTTATACAATGCTTTATAAAGAAACAAGTCATGTTATTGCATATTCAATAAGTAACGAGATAGCAAACAAGTTGTACGTCAATCATTGTTAATCAAATTCTCCTTGCATATTGGCAGCAAGTGCATACCTCAAACATTCTTCAATAAGCTTAGTGATTAAAGTGAAAATTGATTATTACCACTGAATTTTACAATATTTTTAAAAAATATTTCCTTTGCTTGTAAAAGTGTAATAAACTAAATCTATCGATAACTTTGAATCGGACACTACAAAAATGTGAGATTTGCAATTCGAGATAGAAATGTGCAAATGAAGAATGTATCATCAACAAGAGATTAACATCCTGTACCAATAGGAAAACGAATCATGCAGATATCAGGTGATTTAATAAAGAAAAATGGCAGCACACACCATCAAGGATATCCTAATACACTAATACTCTATTAATTTCAATTTCCTTGACCTTTCAATGAAAAAGGTAAGTTTAAATGACTGGATGATAGATAACCACACTTCCTTGATAACAGTGGCATGTTAAAAGGGAAAAAAGTAGATACAATTTATGACTGGAATGAAATAATGAAAAGCTCTGTCGTAGAACAGCTTGAGTAGCAATGAATATAATGATAAAATCAATGGTGTTAATTGTTGATTGCTGTTGTGTCGTGTGTGTGTGTTGAAGATTATTTATGTGAAGATGATAATAAATGATACATCTTCTTACCTTCATGGGTGGATAAATATGATAAGGTGCAGTACCGGTAACCAATTCAATGGTAGTAATACCTAAACTCCATATATCGGCTTTAAAATCATATCCGGTAACCTGTTCCATGACTTCCGGAGCCATCCAACAAGGTGTACCAACAAAAGTGTGACGGGATCGTTGTCGAGAGAGATCACCACCGGTAGCAAGCCATGAACTTACACCAAAATCAGCAATCTGTACTTCACCATTTTCACCTAAAAGTATATTACCAGCTTTAATGTCACGATGAATTTGACCATTATTATGAAAATATTCCAGTCCCTTGAGAACTTCTTTTAGAACGGTAGCAATAGTACCCTCATCAAAGACACCATGTTTACAATCCTCTGTTTTCATTTTATGTTTAATTATATCCAACAAGGAGCCTCCGGCAAGCAATTTAATTACCAGCCATAATTCCTCTTTTACCACAAAACTAGTATGATAAGAGACAACATTTTCATGGTTACAGGCTGTCATTGCTTGAATCTCTTTTAATAGCTCGTCCATAGAGGTATTCCATTTTTCTAGATTAATACGTTTAATTGCACATTTCTCCTTCCTTGGTTTACAGTAAGCAGAATGAACCACTGCAGTTGCACCAACACCGATAACTTCACCAAGCTCATAATCATCCTTACCATTGGGCCAACTATTGCCTGATTGGCCCAAAGAGGAAGAATTATCCATTGTATTTACACTGTGTTTATATGGCAATCTTGAATTTGATATCCATAAGAAAGATGAAGATGATGATGTTGTTAATAAAGTTGATGGTGAGGATGGTGAAGCTGATGAGGATGAGAATCACAGAAAAAATGGGTAAAGAAGAAGAGAATTAACAACAAAATGTAAAGCAAGAAGAGGAAGCATTTGCTAAGCAAACAGTTTTAGTCTTAGAAAACCGCTAGGGGCGCTGATGCCGGGCGCGGTTTTCCATTTTTATTGATTTTCAACATTGATTGATATTTTTCAGCATGGCAATAATCTGAATAGCTCTGTTAATCATGGTTTATATAAACAAGGTAATGGCCAATAACGAATAAACTAACGGTTAAATTCAACAAGACTAAGGGTCAACCAAATACAAGAAAAAACTATTACATCATTTAATGTGACCGGTATTTTATAATTGAATGAAATTGTGATAGATTTGCTGAAAAATGATGGAAAGCATTGGATCAAGAGAAATAAACTTACATGCTATGTTGTGATGAGGTCGAGTCACTTGTTAAGGTAGAAATCTAAGTTTAAAATGAATGATCTCAATAATTACAATTGTAAAAGGCAAAAGTTGCACAAAAATGAAAAGAGAAACGTTCAAAATAGAAAATACGAATTTCAAATGTAATTCACTATCAAATGTTAATTAGCTGTTGCAACATCAGCAAATCAAGTAAAACAATTGGTAAATTTAAATCGCATTTAGGTAAACCTCGTGCAGCACAAGTGGGATAAGCTTAAAAACATATTCTGCAAAGGTTCCCATTAAAATAATGGAAAACGGGTTTTTGCTTTTGCAAATTCAGATTTCAACCAAGTGATTACATCAAGAAATATGAGTGGAATAGGAGTCACAGATAGTTAAAATTGTTGTTAGATTAACAAACCACTGACTAAATCATTAACTATTGTTTGTAAACCAAAAAAATGAGAAGCAAACTCAATGCATGTTGATGGGCAAGTCAAGCAGTCAACAGGAAGACAATTTTGTCTCCTCCTTTTATTTCCATTGGTATTTAATTGTATGTTGTTGTTGATGGTGATGATGATAATGATGACGGTGGAGAAAAAAAACAAAGAGACAACAAAAACACAATTAAGGAACCAAGCAAAACAAAAAGTGAATTTATAGCGAGTCAAAATGATAACAGAAATAAAAAAAGTAGAGAAAATGAAAACTCGGTAAAAAGGTATTGAGATCGGTGGAGTGGCAACAATGGTGTTAAGGGGAATAACCATGTAAATATGTATTTATCTGGGTCATTAATGGATTGAAGAGAGGTTGAGCTTCACTGAAGATAGAATTTATGATGAGATGATGAAAAAAGTAACGTATGGAACAGAAAAAAAGAAGAAATAAAATCAAGTTAACATTGTAAGCTTTTTGTTCTTCTTATAACAAAATCTAACTCAACACTGACTCTTTCAATATGTTTTACATCGAGATTAATTTGCTGACTCTGAGTTCAACTTATTCAAGCAAACAAAGGGAAAACTTGAAAACCAATTGATACTCAAAGGTTGAACTTGCCATAACAATGCAGTCTGTCTGCCTTATCCAACCCTTACAAGGCTAATTTCAAGTCTACATCTTAACCAGAAAATTTTTTAAAACAAAGATAACCCTTGAAGTAATGAAATATCAACTAAAATTGGAAAACCAAATAAATTAGTTTCCCAACTAGACTTGTTCATTTTAAACCCTGATTGTTATCAGTAAATGGGACAAACTAACACTAAATCACTTCACCTGTGACTTAACAATTAACATTAGAAAATATAACTTCTACTATCCCTTTCAACCCTTTTTATTGTTCGTCAACTAGATTATCATTTCCCTTCCAATGCATTATTTCGGTCAAAATCTATGCGCAGTTCAAGTACATGGTTGTTGATCAGATGATTAAACCATTTGCAAAGGTTAATCAAAAAAGTACAATCAGCTAAATGATCAACGACTCTTCAATATATCTTCAATGTTAGAAGAACCATTTTTGAGTTGAAAAAAGATAGTAAAATGTCAATTTTGGGTTAACCAGAAAAAAGATAAACATTGAACCAGATTTTTCTCACTTTATTACTTTATCAGTCAAACTAATGAAAAATTATTAAACAAGATAAAAACCCATAACAGTCAATAGAAAAAATTGGTTGATTAATGCAATTAGCTCTTACCAGTTATCATTTTTGCCAATAACTATTAATGCGTTTACCAAATCAAGTGGTCAAATCCATGGGTCAATTTTGTTGTAAACTGATAAATTGATAAATAAAATTGACTCCAATTAAAACAATGGATTTAACAAGTAAAATTGTTAAGGTGTTGAATCGGGTTGAACAATGAAAGTTATCATTTAAGTCATATGGGTTTGAATGGTTATGAATATAAAAACAAAAAACTTGAATCAAGTTTATGTCATTAGATTCAGTTAAATTACAATTGAGATTTCAATCTTTAATCTAATAAAAAACAAACATGAAAATATAACAACAAAAGCAATCAAGGATAATAATGAAACCATTTTAATTTACTTTTGAATGAAATTGTTCATTTCTAAGCTTTCAATATGGTTGAAATCATTTCCAGGATTCAAATAACATTGATTAATCACAGTTTAAGGCAATCTTGTAATTGTAATTAATTTCAATGAATAATCAACCATCATATCAAGTATCAAATATATTTTTAGCGACTCTTAAACCTTCTAGTATGAAAATTATATTGAAATAACCCTGGTTTCATTGTAAATTCTTAGCTATTTAAAAGACTACTCTTGAGTAAAAAATTTGGTTCATTATTTAAGATTATAAATGTTGATAAGTCAACATCACAATCAATGCAAGACTTGATTAAATCAACCTAAAACGGGTAAGTAACTGATTGACTTAATCTTGTAAATCTTGGCTTCTGTGATTTTATCAACTCACTGGTTGGTATTCATTGAAAGGTGATCCTACAATTGGCAAATTGTGATTACAGAGTTAATCAGATTGACCCTCAATTAACCAGTAATCACTTGATTAATTTATAAGGAAAAGTATTTCCCAGCTTTCAGCTGATAACTAATTGTTTCCTCAACAATTTATTGACTCTCTGCCAATCAAACGATATATTTACACTTGATCAATCAAGATCAAGAGAGGTGGGATCTTCAATTAGCAGAAAGATTATGATTATGGTAAAAGAGGAAAACAAATTGTTATTAAATCTGTAAGCTCAACAAGTGGAGGAACCCAAACTGTAAATGATTCAATGGTGATTATTCAATGAAGATGCAAAGCTCTGTCAAGGAATCTCTTTCAATTAATTGATAAATAGTTTCACATTGAGAGGGAAGAGTTAAGAAAGGATGAAGAGGGGGAAAAAAGAGTTGGAAAGGTACATTTTCATTACAGTATTAGATTAAAATTTGAACGGCCTTAAGGAATAATTATGGTTAGTATTTTTAATAGAAAAAAATATCAAAACAGAAAAGGGGAAAACTGGTTAGGCCATTAACATCGTAATTAATTTCTTTCTCATTCCTGATCCGGTCTGATTGGTTTGGGTTAATTTAACAGTTATCATCATTCAAAGGTCTGATGATGATGGTGATGGTGGAGAGGGAAAAAAATTATGTAACTAGGCTATTTAATTCAAGGTTAATGGTTTATTACCTTTGATGGAGTTAAAATTTTAACAAATTAAACAAAGTAAAATGATCAAGGCCAGGGTTAGCCCGCCTTTGGGCGATTTTGTATATCACTTGACCCAATAAACAAAAGATGGTGATTACCCTTTAGATGATTGAGAAAAAATAACGTTCAGATGTTTGATGTTGATAACGATGATACAGATGATGGTTATGGTGATGGTGTTGGTGAGGATAATGATGATTTTTTCCTAGGGGATTCAAAGTCTTTTCAATGATCACAAACCATGTTGGTATTGTAATTAACTGTAACCAATCCACTAATAATAAACATATATCTTGATTAAACCCTTCAAGAGGTTGATTAGATGAACTGGATGAACAGTAATTACAAGAGAAAAGTAAATTTGATTAAAAACGCTTTTTCCAGCTTTTCTTTCCAATCCGTCAACTGCTGTTAGACGCATAAGATACAAAATGGAGGCATCTTCTGCAGAGGTTTTTCCCGGTTTTTTTTCCTGTTTACAGCTAATTCACAAAATTCAAAGCTACAGAGGCAATCGATGAATAACTTCCGATTAGAATCAAAATAAATTTGTCGCTTGATTCAACATTTGATGAATTAACAAGAAAGATACAAAAATAATTAACAGGCAACAAAGAAACTAAAAAATGGGAAAATCACAGCATGTCTCTATTTAAATGGAAGAAAAAGCTCCAAAAGCTAACGCAATTGGTTAAAGATAATCAATAAAATTGATAAAAGGACGTTAATCAACACCATCTCATGGACATTTAAGACTATTTAAATGATCCAGTAACAAAGTTACCAAAAAATTAACCAGAAACGGGTTCAATCAAAGAGTTAATTTTTGGGTTCATGTTACTGCCATCTATTGTTTAATTTATATACTTTCCATCATTTTATGCATTTTTATAATTTAGGTTTAGTTATCGTTTCAATATTTTGAATATTTTAGTAAACAATTTTAAAGTTTATTTGTATATTTTGATTGCTACTTGTTAATTGTTATATTAATTTAGAAAATTTGTAATTCTAAGTTTTGTGTTATTCTGTTAATGATTTGCTAATGGTTTGCAACTGTTAAAATTACCACTGAAATGTGAATTTGTATTTTAATGAAAATAGGAAATGTAGAGTGTTGAGAAATGGATTCCTTTTTGTGCTGATTGTGATGAAAAATGAAAATGGTACAAAAAATAGATGACAACACATGGAAATAAAATGCTTCAAGGTTGTTCCTATCAAAACTGAATTGGCCATGAAACTTTTATAAACCAGATTGTTCATCATTGCTACCATTTAACAATACCACTGATGGTAAGTAATCACTTTGATTATTGTTATTATTACCTTTAGTTGGTCTTTTCACCATCTCCACAGTTGTGTCAATGTTTCCCGTATTAATTCAACCGTAATCCAATTCTGTTGATTAAACAAGATCATTAGAGTTAAATCATTAATCAATCTACAATTAATTAGTGTTACTCCAACAGATAACGGGTATTTCCAGCCCAAGACTGGTTAAGGTCAGAATACTGTAGGTTAATCTTGATATTCAACCCAAAAAATTGTAAGACAACTCAAGAGTTACTAACACTAACAACATGATTGTTAGATGAGATTCAACTGAAATTTTTGCAGAGTTGGCCAAGTTTTTATGGAATCAGGTGATAAACCTTTGGCTTTACATGTAAATAATGTCATCAACTTGCAACCCATATTACTCGAATCAATCTTAATCAAAACTATTAAAATTTAAAGTCATTAGCCTTTTCATCTATTCAAATGTACTCCAAGTAAATCTTTGCCACTTAACACTGAAAGCTTATCTTTTCATGATATTTCCTAGCAAAGTTGATTCTTCCAAAAGCGAGTTTCATTTGATTTTTCAAGATTAAAAGAGTCAAATCAGTATCGAAATCAGATTGAAAGTTGTTGTAGGTTTCATTGAAAAACTTAAAGGTATGTTGACTGTTTCATTCATAAAAATTTCAATCAACTATGATAAAGTGGAATCAGGCTTTTTCATTCACAAGATCCTGTTTTCCCTGATAAGATCACTGTTTTTGATTTACCAGTTCATTACTATTAATATTTACAATCAAAAACCTTGTTAACCAAATGATCATCTTGTATTAAGACAAATGAAGAGCAGGAAATGTCAATCTATCAAGATTATGAGCATTTTGAATAAACAAAATTGATTAACCCAAGATTGGCATAACAATTGTTGATCAACTAGACTTGAACGAACCAACCAAAAAGCCATTTCATTGATCAACAAAACAATTGACTAACAATTAAAGTAATCATTTTACAACCATATAAATCATGATAATCGATGAAATGAATCATTCCTACCAATTTCCTCACCATTCATAAAATAGGTAAACTAAACAGGTTAATAGAAGCAATAATTTGACTCAATTAGAAGATAAAATTGACTAATTGAAGGCAAAGCATAAATAATATTAACATTGATTTAAATCACTGTAATACATTCACTAATTACACAAAAATTAGTAACATTAAGTTTACTTACATTGTCTTGTCCTTTGAATTGCTATCGTTAAGTAACATGTTAAAGTTGAAATGTTGAGAAGTGAATAAATCCAAGCATAAAAACAAACTATTGAAGTAAATGTTAATCCTGGTTAATTTGGGTTCAGGTTTTTTGGGTTTCTCATCAAATTATTGCTTTCCAATTGATTACACTTGATTGGGTTTACTCTGTGTTTAATTAGCAACTAAATTTGAAATTGTGTTGATGGTTGAAACAGTAAAGATGGAATGAAATGCGATTCGAGAAAACAAATCATGACAACTTATACCATATTACATTAAATTGAAGATGAAAGTGGAGAGTGACTGGGATGAGAGGGAGGTGATGATGATAACGATGATAGTGATGTTAGACGTCTAAGGATGATGATTGATGTGATGAAATGAAGCTTATTGTGAATGTCAAAAATGTGTGTTGATCTAAACAATCAAATTAGATTCAATTTAAACGCAGTTTATATCCAACTTTGTTGATTTTTGTTTGAACCTTAAAAGAGTAAAAATTGAAATTATTATTTACACCATTTTTCCGAGAAACTGTTCATTTGTCAACATAATTAATATTGCTAAATAAATGTTTATTATATTTTTGCTGGTTAAATTGATTGAGAATAATTTTTGCTATTCACTTCATTTCTGATTTATTTTATCTGTTGGCGTCATTTTACAACAATTAACCAAGTTTATTGTTTCCATTGTTACCTTTTCTTCAACTGTTGTTCAACTTGAATCAATTGTTTATCGGTATTAGTGTTGAATAACATTGATGGTGAAAAACAGTTTTCAATTATAATTTACGTAAATCTCTTAACCACAAGGTTATCAATCAATCATCAATGTTTAACCTTATGTTTAACTTTCTCTATTTACGATGATTTGAGCAAACAGCCATTTGAACTGAACATTTATTGTTTAAGATGATTTTACGATGACAATTAAGATTTCTAGAAATTAATAGATCATTCTTGCACTTCAAATTAAGAAACATTTCCAACATTTACATAAATCTTTTGCTTCATGGGATTGGTAATGGTGAAGTTCAGGTTTACAATTGCTGTTGTTGATGACAATTAATTCACAATTTAATGGTAAATCTTTTTGATAGCAAAGTAACCAGCTTTGGGTACTTTTCATTCCCCTTTAGCCAAGTTACCGGTCACCAGTAACCAAAGTATCTCAGTCGACTGATTTATTAATACTCTTGGTGTGAATCAGTTTAAAAAACATTAACTTATTCATTATGAACATAAATTTAATATTTCGAGAGTAGTTGGATAATTTAATAAAACAGTAAGATTTTGTTAATTCAGTTATTCTAATGATAATAGTTACTGTTTGAATTAATATTAAGCCGGCGATGGTCGATTAATCGATAGTCTTACACATGTGACTTTGTTTTCAAGTCTAAAACATTTGTAAGCATTGTTTATGTAAGTTTTGCATGGTTTTTTGATACAGTTTCATTTTTTTCAATTTCATTCATAATTCAGGCGAAATTTTTGCTAATTCAAAATGAATCTTGGAATGAAAGTTGCTAGTAGTGTACTTCTTACTGGAGGTACTTATGCAGCTATCTATTTTGGACAGTGAGTTCGATCATTTATTGTTTCTTTTTGATTATTCATTATTAGCCAATTTTTCATCTATTGTTTGTTTATAATCTTCTAACTTTCATTTTACAGTCAAATGCTAGTTCCTAATTACGAAGGAAAAGAAGTGTTAACTGGGAAAACGGTTCTAGTCACTGGTGCCACGAGTGGAGTTGGTAAAGCTGTTGCGTTGAATTTAGCTGCTAAAGATGCAAAAGTGATTTTAGGCTGCCGTGATCAGGAAAAGTGTATCTGGGTTCGTCGAGAGGTAGCTGAGAAAACAAAAAATGAACAAGTCTTCTGTTCGATGCTTGACTTGGCTTCTCTTCAATCAATCAAAGAATTTGTGCATCGGATGAAATCAAGTAAGTTTTTAATAAAATAGTTTTTTGTGATATATTTTAATCCTTGTATTCTTTCTTTCCAACAGAGGATATAAGTTTTGATGTCGTTGTTAACAATGCTGGAGTCATGAGGTGTCCAAAAACTTACACCAAGGAAGGATTTGAAATGCATTTAGGAGTCAATCATTTAGGTAAAACTACTTCGATGGATTTACTCCTAGTCAGGGATATAAAACACATTTTTCATTTTCTATTTCAGGACATTTCTTTTTAACTTACCTTTTGCTGGATGATTTGAAAAGCAGATCAGCTAGAATAATCAACGTCACTGATCAAGTTTACAAAAAAGGACAGATTAATTTAGAAGATTTAAATAGTGAACAAAATTATGATGCAGTCAAAGCTTACAATCAGTCAAAATTAGCTAATGTTTTGTTTACTCAAGAATTAGCCTCTCGTTTACAAGGTTCAGGAGCTCATGTTTTCGCTGCTGATCCTGGAATTTGTAATACAGATATAATGAGACATATGGGTGTCCATAAATCACTTATGGGAAAAATATTCGTCAAACCATTCTTGAAATTATTTGGTAGATCTCCTGATAAAGGAGCTCAAGTAATTGTGCATTGTGCACTCTCGCCCGATTTATCAGATGACCACGCGAACGGTAAATTATATCGGTAAGTAGATGCTAATGTTCATTCATCATTTGTTCATGTTTTTTGGGAATACATGTATTAAATATCTATCTTTTTTCCATTTTCTCATACAGTGACAATAAAGAAGTCGAAATTGTGCCACATGCAAAGGATGATATTTTGGCTAAAAAATTATGGTTAATTAGTGAACGTTGGACAGTTAACCGTGATAAACCATCTGATTCTAGTTTGAGACAAACTGCAACTTCTGTTTCACCAAATTCTTAATCGTGAACTGGAACGTAGATTTGTTTTTTGGAGCATAGGTTTATAGAGGCACAAATTACCTTTTTCAAAGTAGATAGCATTTACATTTTATTAAATTGAGTTTTGCAATAATTGAAATGGTCATAATTAAAATGCTTGAGAAGACATTTTAAATTTATGAAATGTACATTTTGTATCTAGAGGAATTTAAACAATATTTAAATTAAAGACATGAATGTTTATAACATGTATTTTTTGCCAATTCTTCCAATGAAAGTGTTCATATCATCCTCACTTAAACAACTCTTCATATCGACAATGAGATCTTTGAGATCTAGAAATAGGAGAAAATAAATCAAATTGAATCAAAACATTCCCAATTGTATAAAAGCTTTTGTTTTGAAAACTTACATTTTTCTTCATGTTTCTCTAAAAATAGAACCAAAGTTGCAAATTTTTCTATTTTGGACAGTTCAAGTAACATATTTGATCGAAAGGCAATATCTTCACAAGAAGCCAGTATTCTCAGAAGGTCGCAAAAGACGAAAGGCTCCATAGAGTCACGAAATATTTCTCTCATCTTGGTTACTCCAATGTTGGTAATGTAATTTAATTTGGTGGAATCAGTTGAAAGTTCTCTCCAATCACAATAGAATTCAAAGGTGTTTATTGGTATCCTGTTAATAACCCGATTCGAAATGGGAAGGCTTTTCTTGGAACTTGGTCTTACATTAAGGCGATTTGATTGTTTCTCATCACCGGATGGAAGTGTTTCAATTTGTTTGTTGTTTGAGTAAAAAGTATCACTGGACGAGATTGGTTCAATAAGGCCAGCTTTTTTAGGTGATAAAAGTTCATTAATATCTTGGACTTCTTTGAGCGCCTGTTTATTATTTGGTTCTAGTTGGAGAACTTTTTTGAAGTCTGTCAGTGCCTTTTCATAGTCACTCAACATTTTCAAAGCAGTTCCTCTCCTGAGATAACCTTTCACATAGTTGGAATCTAGTTTTAAAGCTTGATTGCAGTCTTTTACCGCTTCATCTGGTCTGTAATTGAATGAAAAACATTTTAAAAATAGAGGCACAAACAAAACAAAATTCAACATACCTGTTGAGATTCAAGTAAGCCTGAGATCGATTGCCGTAAAGAAGATGATTGGTTCGATCATATTCTATTGCTTTAGAGTAACAATTAACAGCACTTTCATAGTTTTTTTCCTTGAAAAATTGATTACCCTGTATAGATGAAAAGAAAAAACATAAACAAACCATCAAAATTTGCCATTGCCAAAGAAAACCGACTTACCTTTTCTTTCTCTGCTAAAGCATTTGGGTTTGACATATTCCACAGCTCACAAATTGATATTAAAAAATTCAAATTATGATATTAGAGTAATTTGAATTAACTTGAGTAATAAGAAAAAGACACTTAGAATAAAATGCAAGTGAAAAAATTTTTAAACAACACTTGATAAGAAGTAACAACTTGATTCACTCTAATCACCGGTTACTAACCGTGATTACCGTAACTAACCAAACCGTGAAAACTACAAAAAAGCAATATTAATACCAATATTAATATTAATATTAATTAACAAAAACAATATTAATACGGTTTAGCTGATTCAATTTTTTGTAATAAAATTGAAATTAAAGAGCATTTCGTACATTGAAAGTTGCAATCTGCTTTTCTCTCCGTTAAAATAACCGCGGTTAATGATAACTTAAGCTTATTCATCTCACAAGTGAGATCATGTCACTGTTTTTCTCTGTTTATTTCAAAATAAAATTTATTTACTCTGGGCTGAACTCACATAAAATCTGTTAAATTAATGTTTATAATGATAGTTTTCTAAATTATGATTGTTTTCTCGTGATTAATTCATAATCTTCACCAATTTAGATGACTGTGGAAATTTAAATTATAAACAATCAATTTGAATGGATATTTTTAAGCTTCTCTCTTTCTCATCTATATTTTTCATTACTTTTTTGAATCAAGTAGATTCCTTCCCCGATCCAGGCAAATGGAGTTTCTCTGTTAGCAAGGTAATTTAATTCACTATATTTCTTATGCTAATAAGTTTGCCATCATGTTCTAATAGTTTGGATTTTCTTGTATTTCAGCAAAAATGCCACTATTTCAATGTGCATAAGGTTCTCTACAAGGATTCAAAGGTGTCAGTTAAAGGTAATTTCAAATTTATATCTCGTTAATATTTTTAGTTGTCGTCTTCTCTTAATTTTGTTGTTAATTATTTACCCAAATGTATCTCACTGCTTCACTATTTTTACAGTACACTGTGATCCTGGACCTGGATCGCCCAAAGATATGAAAATCAAAGTTGGATATGTCATAAGAGAATCACCTTGTTTTGAAGAGTATGTTGGACCTCAGCTAATGGTAAGTTGGTGAAATCTCTCAGGCTAGATGAGAATGCATCTAATTGACTTTAATTGTTTTTTTTTCAGAGTATCGATTTCATTGCAAGTTTCTATCACTGTCCTGTGGACCTTTATGCTGCTTTTGGATATACCAGTATTAATTACTTGAAAACTGAAGAAAAAGTGGTGACTTGCGATCATCTTATCGATGAAAGTTTAAAAGTAAATATTAAATACTCCAGCTGTGTAACTATTTTACTAATCACTTATCCATATATTTTTCTCTTACAGACGATCAAAGGAGAATTTACAACTTCTCCTATTGATATTTATGCTGGTAGCAACTGTTCACGACCTCCTCAAATATGTGAAACTTCCCCTTCTTCAACATTTTTCTATCGAGAATTGACCCCAAGTGATAATGATTTTGATGCCAGTATATCTAAGCGATCTGTCGATTCTACAAACCAGCTCAAACATCTTGTGAAACGATCGCCTTCTAAAGTATGTTACAATTACATGACTATTTTTTGATCATATATTAATTATTTGTTGTTATTAATTTATTGTATTATAGCTTGATGGCTCAATCTCTATTCCATATGATGGAGTTTATTTATTGATAGTTTATATGTCGGCTCTAGAACCTGGAGATACTTTCAATGCTATTGGTAAATAACATATTGATAAATGAACCACCTTGTTAACAAATCTAACAAATTGATAATTTCCAAAATATTTTATAGTTGACCTAGAGATGAAAGGAGAGAGCGGATATCTTTCAGCAGATGAATGGCCTCTCTTACCATTTTATGGAGTAATGTCGATAGTATATCTTTTTTATGCTATTGGCTGGTTAGTTGCTTCTGCCATGCAATGGCGAGACCTTTTGAGGATACAATTTTGGATTGGTGGTGTAATTTTCTTAGGAATGTTGGAAAAGGCAGTATTTTATGCTGAATATCAATCAATCAACTCTACTGGTCAATCTGTTAAAAGTGCCATTCTTTTAGCTGAGTTGGTATCATGTCTTAAACGTACTTTAGCCAGAATGCTTGTCATCATAGTTAGTCTTGGCTTTGGAATTGTCAAGTAAGATTTTATTTCTTTTCTATCAATCATTCGCTTCAATTTTTTCTTCCATCTTTTTTGAAACAGACCAAGATTAGGACCCATGCTTCATAGAGTAGTTTGCGTTGGAGGTCTATTTTTCACTATGAGTGCTCTTGAAGCTTTACTTCGTGTCTACCGAGTAAGTAAATGGATAACCAAATCTCTTAAATCTTTTTATTTTTGAAAGCTAACTTTAATAAATTCCATTTTATCTTAAAGCCAAAAAATGATCCAACAAATCAAACCTTAATGGCTGGCATCCCTTTAGCTGTTTTAGACAGTATTATTTGTTGGTGGATATTCAGCTCTCTTGTACAGACCATGAGAACATTACGATTACGAAGAAATCTAGTCAAACTAAATTCGTACAGAATTTTTACTAATGCCTTAATTTTTGCTGTACTCTGTAAGTAAATTTTGTTGAAAATTAGTTGAAAAATGTTCTCGAATAACCAATAATGTCTTTATCTTACTGCAGCTTCTATCGTTTTCATGATTTGGGTTATTCATTATCATAAATTTACAAAATGCATAACTGACTGGAAAAAATTATGGTTCGATGTGGCATACTGGGATGTGCTTTTTTCAAATGTTTTGTTAGTTATAATGATTCTTTGGAGACCAACTAATAATAACCAGCGTTACGCTTTCACTCCTTTATTGGATGCAAGTGACGATGAAGACGATCTAAGTGATCAAGTTGTTATGAACGAAACTTTTGGTAAGTTCGATTCGCTATCCTAAATTTTATATTCCTTGCTAATCGCAATTTTCATCTATTCCGTGTGATCTTAAGATGGAGTAAAAATGAGACAACAGTCTTCCGGATCTTCGTCCAATCAACAACAAAAAACCAAAGATGCAATTCTTAGTAGAGAAGCTGAAGAAGATCTCAAATGGATTGAGGAAAACATTCCATCATCTCTTGTAGACGCGTAAGCTATTGTTAAAGCCATAATATTAATAAATTTATTTGTGAATCAATGGTGGAAAAATTAATTATTGCTCTTTTTATTCTTCCAGGGCTTTACCTGCTCTCATCGATTCTGACGAGGTAAGTTTCACTGAATAAATCTTTGTCTAAATAGCTTTAATTGTTAATTAATTCATCTTTTTCAGGAGATTATGTCAACCAAGTTCGAGAGGAGCAAAATGGAATGAATCTACTACGTATCAACAGAGGATAACATGCTATGGCAATTTAATCTGTACACTAAGCATCACGTTTCTTAATCAGACGCCTTGATTCTGTTTGACTCAAATCTAGTTTACGTCTTTATCATCTCCTCTGTGAATTTGCAATGCGATTTTGATGAAAATCTTTGCGAAATTTTTGTGTATTCTGTAACGAATTATCCAGTTGCTATTGAAACAGCATAATTACTGGATAAGATTTTTCTATCCTCACTAATTTCTATTCGACTGTGATATACTTTACTAATACAACTTACGGCTCTCAACTATCATGATTTGTACTTTTCAATTCAATTCTAAATAATTCTGTGCTACTTGTATCATAAAAAATTTTCCTTTGTCAAAACTTAAGGACATTACAATGAATAATAATAATAAATAGCATCAACTTTAAAGTAAAATTGCCATTCTTCATAACGGCTCCGTTCATTTCCAATATTGAATATCTATTGATGTTCATCAGCAAGTAATTTTGAATCATAATTGCAATTACATGAATACTGAGAGCTCTTTTCTTGGACACGAATTTAGGTGAAAGGCGTTTAATCAATCTTACAAATTGATTTGAGATCTTAGATTCGATTAAATTTATAAGACGAGAAATTTAAGCAAACTAACATTGTTTTAATAACAAGAAAATATAGAAAAATTGGATTATACACACATGATTATAATTGAATTAATTGAAAAGACTAATTAAAGCTGAGCTTTTACTATATGATAACTAGATGAAACTACGATCAATGACGAGATTGAAGCCTAGGATGAGATGATGCAGAGAGTGGAAGATTTGTTTAGTAATCCATACCACCCATTCCTCCCATTCCTCCCATGCCTGCCATAGGATCAGCTTTGTCTTCTTTGGGTGCTTCTACAATAACTGCTTCAACTGTTGTTAAAAGTGAAGCGACTGAAGATGCATCAGATAAAGCAGTTCGGACGACTTTTGTTGGATCAATGATACCAGCGGAAATCATGTCAGTGAATTCACCACGGAAAGCGTCATATCCAAAATTAGGATCATTTGAATCTAAAACTTTTTGAACAACAACTGCAGCATCCACACCAGCATTCAATGCTATTTGAGTGCACGGCATCTTGAGAGCTTTTCGTACTATTTCGATTCCTGTCAAAATGAAATTAACGAGAAACAAATGAATAAAAATACTTGCGAACAATGGATAGAAAACATGGATAGAAGAACAAATCTCATGGGAGATAATATCAATAATGTATCAATTGATAATCTATAGCGATAAAATATCTCTATGGAAAAGCATTATATCTTACCTGTCTTTTGATCGTCATTTACAGGTTTAAGATCATCAAGTACTTTGATAGATTTGAGGAGAGCTGTTCCACCACCAGGAACAATACCTTCTTCAACAGCAGCTCTAGTGGCATTCAGTGCATCATTTACTCGATCCTTTTTTTCACTAACCTCTACTTCACTAGATCCACCAATTTTTAAAACACCGACACCACTTGCTAATCTAGCCAATCGTTCGGATAATTTTTCTTTCTCATATTCTGAATTGGTATTTTCAATTTCAAACCTAATCTGTTCGATTCTTCCATCAATCTCGGATTTATTACCTTTACCCTAGATAGACAAAAAAGAAACATAAAAAACAAGATAAAATTAAAAGACTGAAAAAGTAAAGATTTAATATAAACTTCTTACCTTAAGTAGCAGACAATCATCTTTTGTGACTGTAACTTCGCCAATCAAACCTAAATCAGTTGGTTGAATATCTTCCATTTTAGTAAGATTAGCTTCATCACCAAAAACTGTGGCTCCAGTTGAAACGGCAATATCTTTTAAAGTATTCTTTCTATTATCTCCAAATCCTGGTGCTTTCACAGCACATACTTGAAGACCAATTTTCAATCGATTCAATACCAATGTCGTTAAAGCTTCACCTTCAACATCCTCAGCAATAATCAATAATGGTTTTCTTTGAGCATTAGCCATCTCTAATGCTGGAATCAAAGGTTGAACAGCGGAAATTTTCTTTTCACTAATGAGAACAAGACAATTCTCAAATTCACATTTAGCTCCTTTAGGTGAAGTTATAAAATATGGTGAAATATAACCTCGATCAAATTTAAGACCTTCAATGACTTCAAGTTCATCGGATAATGTTTTACCATCTTTTACCGTAATCACGCCATCTTTTCCAACCTTTTCCATAGCCTCAGCGATCAAACTACCGACAGTTAAATCTCCATTTGCTGAGATTGTAGCGACTTGTTTAATTTCATCAGTGGTGGTTACTTTTTTTGATTGGTCTTTCAGTGTTGCAATGACCTTTTCCACTGCCATAATAACTCCTTTCCTTATTTCGGTAGAATTTGCTCCTTTTGAAATTTTATCGAAACCTTCTTTGGCAATAGCACGAGCCAAAACGGTAGCAGTTGTTGTACCATCACCAGCAGCCTCATTTGTAGCATTGGCTACATCTTGGACAAGTTTTGCACCAATATTTTGAAATTTATCTTTCAATTCAATTGCTTTGGCTACCGTGACACCATCCTTGGTTATTTTTGGTGATCCCCAAGATTGTTCAATTACTACATTTCGTCCGGAAGGTCCCATCGTCACTGACACAGCATCAGCAAGAATATCAACTCCAGATAACATTTTTGCTCGAACATCACCTCCAAATTTAATTTCTTTAGAGTAATATCTGCTGAGTGAATTCCTAATAGCAGGGGAGCGACGTAATAGAAAGTTGTACATTTTTATTAAATTATTTTAAATTAATTTGATAGAACCCAAAAAACACAAAATTAAAACGAACTGGTTGTAGTATTACAGCGTGGTAGACATGCTTTTCTGGTGGATTTCTGGTTTTGATCAATTGTGAATCGATTTTAAATCTAGGATCGAGTTCTTCATGTAAAATCGATTTAATACAAGAAAATTTACTCATCGAAATAAACTTGTCTCAGGTTAATTAAAATACACTTGACCAGGTTTCATTATTGATCTGTGAATTTAGCTCATTGATTAGTGTAATAATGTTACGGTTTAATTTGTTGACATTTTTTCTTCTTCGCAATCAAAGTAAATTAAATGCTTAAAAGATTCACCTTTCATTTGTCATTTGAGTTCGGGCTTTGGTTTAAAGATAAAGTTTAATATTTTTTGTTACAATTCAAATTGTTGGCCTGATTTACGGCAAAAAGCAAAAATTAATCAGTCAACCTTCAAAAATTTACTTTGATTCTTTCGCTGTGATTATCATTGTTGCAATACTTTTACTTTATCATAGCTCATTCATGCTCATGCTATGACATAAGCTAACCAATTTGATATAATTGTAAGTTTAATCAAAAGCAAGTCCATTGATCATATAAATCTAGAGACAGAATAGTTGTGCGTATTCATTGAGATTATTCAGTTTAAAAATATCTTCGAAAAAGTTTAGTTTGAATTCAAATTTTGCTTAATGAACGTTTTAGCTAAAATTTTCAACACAAGATGGAGTAATAAAAATTTATGCGGTAATTTCTAGAAATTGTACAGCAAATGTTGCAGCATGGAAATCACGTTGTTTTAACTTTGGTGCTTTAAAGATTACCGGTGGTTTTTGAGTTTTGTGTAACTGTATTTAAATATCCCATTAATTTAAAATAATTTAATAAAAATGTACAACTTTCTATTACGTCGCTCCCCTGCTATTAGGAATTCACTCAGCAGATATTACTCTAAAGAAATTAAATTTGGAGGTGATGTTCGAGCAAAAATGTTATCTGGAGTTGATATTCTTGCTGATGCTGTGTCAGTGACGATGGGACCTTCCGGACGAAATGTAGTAATTGAGCAATCTTGGGGATCACCAAAAATAACCAAGGATGGTGTCACGGTAGCCAAAGCAATTGAATTGAAAGATAAATTTCAAAATATTGGTGCAAAACTTGTCCAAGATGTAGCCAATGCTACAAATGAGGCTGCTGGTGATGGTACAACAACTGCTACCGTTTTGGCTCGTGCTATTGCCAAAGAAGGTTTCGATAAAATTTCAAAAGGAGCAAATTCTACCGAAATAAGGAAAGGAGTTATTATGGCAGTGGAAAAGGTCATTGCAACACTGAAAGACCAATCAAAAAAAGTAACCACCACTGATGAAATTAAACAAGTCGCTACAATCTCAGCAAATGGAGATTTAACTGTCGGTAGTTTGATCGCTGAGGCTATGGAAAAGGTTGGAAAAGATGGCGTGATTACGGTAAAAGATGGTAAAACATTATCCGATGAACTTGAAGTCATTGAAGGTCTTAAATTTGATCGAGGTTATATTTCACCATATTTTATAACTTCACCTAAAGGAGCTAAATGTGAATTTGAGAATTGTCTTGTTCTCATTAGTGAAAAGAAAATTTCCGCTGTTCAACCTTTGATTCCAGCATTAGAGATGGCTAATGCTCAAAGAAAACCATTATTGATTATTGCTGAGGATGTTGAAGGTGAAGCTTTAACGACATTGGTATTGAATCGATTGAAAATTGGTCTTCAAGTATGTGCTGTGAAAGCACCAGGATTTGGAGATAATAGAAAGAATACCTTAAAAGATATTGCCGTTTCAACTGGAGCCACAGTTTTTGGTGATGAAGCTAATCTTACTAAAATGGAAGATATTCAACCAACTGATTTAGGTTTGATTGGCGAAGTTACAGTCACAAAAGATGATTGTCTGCTACTTAAGGTAAGAAGTTTATATTAAATCTTTACTTTTTCAGTCTTTTAATTTTATCTTGTTTTTTATGTTTCTTTTTTGTCTATCTAGGGTAAAGGTAATAAATCCGAGATTGATGGAAGAATCGAACAGATTAGGTTTGAAATTGAAAATACCAATTCAGAATATGAGAAAGAAAAATTATCCGAACGATTGGCTAGATTAGCAAGTGGTGTCGGTGTTTTAAAAATTGGTGGATCTAGTGAAGTAGAGGTTAGTGAAAAAAAGGATCGAGTAAATGATGCACTGAATGCCACTAGAGCTGCTGTTGAAGAAGGTATTGTTCCTGGTGGTGGAACAGCTCTCCTCAAATCTATCAAAGTACTTGATGATCTTAAACCTGTGAATGACGATCAAAAGACAGGTAAGTAATTATATTATATTATCATTAGATGATAGATATTCTAAAGGACACAATGCAATGCTCGTTAAAGCAATTTTTGCTCAGTCGCCATCTATGGATAATAGATATTACATTGTATATTGCAAGTTTTTTAGACTTCTATCCATAATTTTTTCTAAATCATTTCAATTAATTTGTTTCTTTTTCTTGCATTCAACAGGAATTGAAATAGTACGAAAAGCCCTCAAGATGCCATGTACTCAAATAGCATTAAATGCTGGCGTTGATGCTTCAGTTGTTGTGCAAAAAGTTTTAGACTCAAGCGATCCTAATTTTGGTTATGACGCTTTCCGTGGTGAATTCACTGACATGATTTCCGCTGGTATCATTGATCCAACAAAAGTCGTCCGAACTGCTTTATCTGATGCATCTTCAGTCGCTTCACTTTTAACAACAGTTGAAGCAGTTATTGTAGAAGCACCCAAAGAAGACAAAGCTGATCCTATGGCAGGCATGGGAGGCATGGGAGGAATGGGTGGAATGGGCGGTATGGGTGGTATGGGTGGTTTCTAGATACCATTAAATCACCTAAACCAAACATCACAATTTAGCCGTTATCCCGATGCATTTATACTTGTTCCAATAAACTGTAGTGCCACTTTACATGTAATAGTCATTTTTTTACATTTTCGTTCCTATTGATAAGTTGCACCATTTATATTTCTTTCTGTATTTCTATTCAGCTGAACTATATTTTCATCATATACAAATAAAGTTTGTTTTCTATTAGAATCACAATTTATCAAAATGCGCATCTTCATTTCAAAACCAAGTCGACGCAAACTCTTTTCTCGAGAGTGAGAAATAGTATAACAAAAGTTTAACAAATTGTTACCAGAAATAAGTAGCATCATTGTTACGTCTAAAATGTCCACCTTGAACGTTCACCAAAAACTTTCTAGATCATCGTTATAAAATTGTTACACACATCAATAGTCAATCATGGAACCTTGGAATACAAATGACTCTTATCTTCCACCACCTTTTGTTAATGATGTCCATCGATGTTTACCAAAAAGTAGCCGTTTCGATGAAAACTGTTTACCAGATTCAGGCGACTTACGGATTCCAATGGAAAGACCAGAAGATATGCTGGATCCAAGTAAAATAAATCCAGGTAATACAAATAATTAACAAGTGACTTTCCAAAAGACCAAAGAAATTAAATAACTTTCCTTTAAACAGCATTTTACCCAATCATAATCACCCATGCAATCACATTCATCATTGGAATTGCAGGCAACATTGTAGTCATACTAACCTGGGCTGGTCGAGGTAAACTCAGGTCACCAACAACGGCATTCCTGGTTTCCCTTGCAATTGCCGATCTTTTATTGTTAATTGTTTACGTTCCTCTTGAAACCCTGGAATACTTTGCTATAACATGGGATGTTGGAGGTTCAGTTTGTAAACTGAGTTCATACGTTGAAATGCTCTGTGGTATATCATCTGTACTCAATCTGGTTGCTGTTTCAATTGAAAGGTAAAACAATTTTAATTAAATTGCATTTTTCACCCTTTCCCAATCAATTGAAAATTGAATTTTGGCCAAAAAAATTTTGCTCCATTAAAATGGCTTCAAATCTTAGACTTTTCATCCATTTTTAGTTTCAACTTTTTTTGTAAACTTATAAAGAAAATCTCTTTTACAAGAAAAAAAATGTTCGAAACTGTCAACTTATTGAACATTTTAATTCATGTTAACCACATTAGTCAACAACCGAGGAAGTAGACTAAAAATTTTTGATTAAATACATTTTCTGGGTTCAAATTTGACGACAAAATGTCAAGCATCCATTTCAACAGATTCAACAGTCAAACTCTCATTTTACCCAAATTAATTAGTGAAAATAATCAGTTTAAAAAGGTTACCAAATTAGCTAATTAATTGTACGATTATTGTTGGGTAATAATAGGAATGAAAGATATTTTTAAACTGAACAATCTCAACACGCACAACTATTCTGTCTCTAGATTTATATGATCAATGGAGTTACTTTTAATCAAACTTACAGTGATATCAAATTGGTTAGCTCATGTCATGGCATGAGCATGAATGAACAGCTATGATAAAGTAAAAGTATTGCAACAATGATAATCACAGCGAAAGAATCAAAGGAAATCATTGAAGGTTGACTGATTAAGTAATTGCTTTTTTTTGCCGTAAATCAGATCAACAATTTGAATTGAAACAAAAAATATTAACTTAATCTTTAAACCAAAGCCCAAACTCAAATGACAAATGAAAGGTGAATCTTTTAAGCATTTAATTTACTTTGATTGCGAGAAGAAGAAAAATGTCAACAAATTAAACCGTAACATTATTACACTAATCAATGAGCTAAACTCACTGATCAATAATGAAAGCTGGTCAAGTGTATTACAATTAGCCTTGTAACAATGTTTTGTAACACTTGTTACACTACAACTTCATGTTTCCCTTGACATTTTCACTGTTCAATGTGAGAAACGTAAAGAGCGAAATTCATGAATATTCAAAGTAAATCGAAAGATGTAATTATCATAAACTTGAGATTGAAAGAAAAATTTGGTTCAGAGTTTTCCTCCATTCACGTGCTTTTTCAATCATGAAACTTGAAATGATTCAATCTGTACTTTTATTTTTTTACTTGTTTTTGCTTTTTGATAAAAGGTGAAAATAATAGCAAAAAAAACTAAGAATCAGAGAAAAGTGAATGAAAATTGTTTGCTCAACAAAAGCTCATTACCTTTTATCTGGAAAATATGAGATTGAACAACTATTATTATCAGCATTTTATTATCTTTGTTATTGTGATGAACAGGGACGGGTAAAGAGTTCTAATTTATTGCATGATAAATGTTGAAAAAAATGGATAAAAGTTCACAAAATGAAGAAAAAGTGAAAGAGCATTTTTCCAAAGTTATCATAAATTTTTGACTCCCAGTTGAGGTTATAAAAGCTTTATACCGTCTTGGTATTCAATTTTCAGTGAAAACAAATTGTTGAGAGAAAAATTAATTCTAATAACGATATAAAAGGAGGAAAGTTTGATTAAATTGTTCAGTTAATAATTGATTCTTTTTCTTCTTCTTTTACAACAAATAGCTTTGCTTCAATTTTCAAATCTTTATTGAGCTTCAATTTTCACTCCATTCAACTTTATCTGGGAATTTACTCTCAATTGTTTACCTGAAAAAATTTTCATGTTTAATCCAGTTTGATTAAGTTGCTCTGACAATTTTAATCCATTTTACATAATTGAACATTTTAAACATGAAAAGCGATTACAAATAAATTTAAATAAACTTGAAATTTCATTGAAAATTAAAACTATTATTATAACCTTTTGAGTGTATAAAAAGACATTTCGAGTCGATTTTGAGTTAACATTTTCAATTGAATAGCAAAGATTACTATTAATAAGACCTTTGATTGAAGCCTGAAGCAAACTGTAAATATTGAGAATCCCTTTTTAACCTGAAAATTTGTTGCTCTAACCTGTTATCAATGCTTCTGTTTAAATAACCATTTAATTGCAACTTTTTATTACAAGGTAAAAATCAAAAAGTTACAACAAAATGATGTTTTTCTGGCTAAAATAATAATACAAAATAAATATCATAATGTTTTCCCAGTAAATTCCCATGAAAGCAAACAGAGTTGATCATTAAAGGTCACAGGTTTTAATCAACATGGTCAAGCTGAATAAATGGCCAGCAAAAATCAATCCCATCAAGTGCAATCTCATTACACAAGAATATACCTTTACCCACATTGCCACCAGTTTTTTCATTCAAATTGCCAGGTAAGCAGAGAACTGTTAATATCTGGTTGAAACAAAGTAAAGAAACAAATCAACATTGGATAAATTAACCTCAAAACAATGAAGGAATTTGCTTCTCTACAGGAAAATAAAAAACACTGATTTACCATTGAATCTCATCTTTAAACCATTTAAACACTTTCATTGTTGCAATGACAATGTTGTGCCTTGGATTAGGAGTAAAATGAGCAACTAATTTTAAATACTTGAATAGAATTAATTTTCATTGAGATTCGAGAAACTCGACTGCAAATGAAATGAACACGAATTAAGGTTAATCTTTTTCCTTCTTCCCTTTACGCTCCAAAACAATCGAAAACAATTATATATATTTTTCGTTATAACAACCAATATCAAATCAATAATGATGACAGGGAAAGGATGAAACCAAGATTGATACAAGAATAGATTGAATGGATAAAATGGGTTTCATCTCTTTATTGCCCTTTTTATTCTCATGGACATTTTTTTCTCCTTCTTCTTCTTCTTAATCAATTACGGAAGGAATCGTTAACTTCTCTACTCAGTTGGAAACCTTAATCAGTAACATTGAAACTTTCATGTTCGGATCTTCTCATCACACTCTGGCCGCTTCTTTGTATCCTTTTGATAAGCCTCAAGCCAAATGTGATGCAAAGGAAAAGCAAGTGAATATTGTTACAACGATTCATTGTCTTTACATTGAGTAATGATTTTTCATAATTTCTCACAACTTTAACCTTTCCAATTACATTCTCCTGTTGTTGATCTGATCACCATGTTGCTATCATTTTCCCATGTGAAGCATCTAATAAGAATCTAATATATAATCAATGAAATGCTCTCAGAGTAAATACTAACATTTACTCATTCTTTTAACGGCATTTCATTTTGCTTTTCTTCTTCATTTCACCTTTTCTCCTTTTCTTTCATTTTCCAATAATATTCTCTGTCTTCTCAAAATGATAATATAAATCAATTTCATTTGAACATTGCATTAATTTGTGTTGATTCAAGGAAACAAATTCACCAATTTTACCCTCAAGTTCCATGGTTATGCCTCTTGTTATGCCAATAGGCAACAGTTTTCCCTGATAATGATAATGATGTTCAAAATGCTATCAGTAATCATGATAATGAATCTGAAAGAGGAAACAAGAGGTTAAAGAGAAACTGTCAGAAAATGAGAAAAAAGATTGAGTCTTTTGTTGATCAACTTGTTGAACTTTTTGTCTTTTTACCTTTTCCTTGTTAGACAATCATTCTCATTATAATCATTTAATAAGGTTCACTATTTTTTCCCTTTGTTTCATTCAAATACATCAATGTATACTCATTGTTATTGGTAATATTATTTTTATTCACTGCAATTCAAACAATATGGTTAACCTTGTAATAAAAAAAGGTAAAATTAATGTCCATTTTCCCAGGCTCACAGGTTTGAAGTTCAACAAGCTTCTTTGGTTTTTATTCAAACTTTCATACAAAGAAACTTTTCATTTATTGGCCAAACAGGTAATGGCTTTAGTGTTGATAGTTTAATCATTATGATTATCCCATTTTCATGATTAAAAGTTTTTCCATCTCAAGCTAAACATATTAACACTGAAACATGTTACAGTCAAGACTCTGTGCTTGCGAAATGAGATGTTCAAATGTTAACCTCAAAGTTGAACATTATCTGGTTATTTTCAATCATTATTGGGTAAACTGGGTTCAACTCTATGTAATCCCATTAATTACGCCACCAATTAAATGATTGAAATTGATTTGATTCTAATAAGCACTTCATTCTGTTGATAACACTTGATGAACATTTATCTTGAGTTTCAGTTTATTCCTGTTTTTCACAGGTTTCACTCAAAGTTTACTTCTCACGATGTCTTCCTTTAGCTTTGAAAGCTCATCAATGGTTTACTTCAATAAAGGATTCAACGATTCACACCTTCCTCATAAAAGGTCTTTCAATGGGTTGTTTAAAAAGTAAAGTCTTGTATCTTTGGAATGAGTTTTCAAATCCTTTCGGAAGTTTTTAAACAGATTACTTTTGAGATGAATTAATGTTACTAGTGCTCAAAACGAAATTCAATCAGACGATCTTCAGATTCAACTATGATGAAAGAGAGCGAGGTTATTTTGAATTTTTTATTAGTCTCGTTATAAACTACTCGGGCCTGTAGCTTTCGAGATATTAGGTGCAAAGTTTGATCTCTCTACTTGACCTGAAAAATCTTGTATGTTGGTATTATGATGTTGGTTATAAAGCGAGACAAATAAAACTACCAAATTCCAAGCCTTATTCACGAACTTATAACAATATAAAAGCTTGATTAATCTTTGAGCAATCAAATCCTCCGCACCAATTTGAGCCTAATTTTATGGAAAATATTGTTACGCATTAAATTTTAATTTAGTTTCAAAATCATTTTGCAACATTTCAATTAAATTGCTGAATAAAAATGATCAAAATTGCATGATGATCAAATGTGGTTTTGTCAAGATTAATGAAGCTTTTCTCATAAGCTCATGATTGAGATTTAAAGTATAGTAGTTCCATTTATTGAATTTCATATTCAGCAGTTTTATATGGATTAGACAAGGTTAACCAAATACTGATTACGATTAATCTATTGTTGACTCGCGAGACAGACAGTTTAAGTGCACTGGTAGCTGCACTTAACGCAACGAATTGGGGTTTCAGTTAACGCAATTTTTAGGTGTTTTTATTGTTGTTTATTAGGTTGGTTATTAGAGGTTTATTTTATTGTTTTAGAGACATTAATATGTAAATGCTCAACCTTGAAGATAATTGCTTGACCTAATAGATGGCAAATTTGGTAAAAATTGACCAATTTGTTGCGTTAAGTGCAGTAAGAATGATTTCTGACTGATCTTTGCCTTTACCAAGTTTGAAAAAATCTGACTTTGCGATCAGAGAACCTTCCCTTTTTAGTCAAGAAATGATTTGATGTAAATTCTTGACCATCCAAACAGCTACATTTTCGCATAATCTGCATATTCCTTAAAATATTTTTTGTTTTTCTTGATTAAGTTATCAAAAAACTCCAAAAATTTTGTCTGAATTTAATCCATATTAACCAAGACTTGGATTTTTTCTCATACTTTTCTTGACAGATTTTTAGTGATTGTTTATCCCATCAAAGCAAGGCGATTATGCACCTTAAGTACAAGCCGTCGAGGCCTTTTGCTAGTTTGGTCTTTGGCCGTTATACTTGCTCTTCCAGTTGTTTTTACAAAGGTAAGTTAACCTTGATTACTTGATGACCTATTCACTTTGATGGAAATTGGCTTTTCAATTAATCTTTGATATTTTACAGTTGCAATTGCATTTGAAAAAAAGGAAAAGTAAAACTCTTAACCTTTCAAATCTTTCTCTCCTTGATTATTCATCATCTTTTTGTTTGCATTTCACTCTTTTTATTTCATTATCATCAGCATTTTCATCATTTTCATCATACGCTATCATCATGTACTTGATCATCTTTCATTTGATTACCATTATATTCACGTTCTGAAAAACCACTCACTAATACTTAGACCCTACTCAGGAAGCTCAAATAAGATGATAATTCATTAGCTGATGATAAATTATCTTTCTTTTTTTTCTAAAATTCTTTACCTCATCAAATGAATGAAATTTTTCCTTCTCAGGAAGACAACAAAATATCCTTTTCCATATTGTTTTACCCGAGTGCAAAAGCCTTGTTTCAAGAGTCTTTTTTCGTTCATTCATTTCATCAGGAAAACCTCTTGAAACTATTGAACAAAAATACAGATGAATAACCAATAATGTGATAACGTGGGACTAATTTTTTATCCAACCATCAAAAGCATTTTTGATAGACAGTTAAAGAGAAGCAGAAGAAACGAAAACCCAGTTTTATCCAACACTTTCATGGTTAACAAATCATTAGCAGATTCATTTTTCATTGTTCAGTTCTTTTCTCGGAAAATTTGCAAACAATAAATTCATTTAAATTCTTTCATAAACAGTAAAAGTTAATCATCAACTTCTTAGAACTGAACCAATGGCTAATCATCAAGTCACGTTGATCTGATTGTTGTTGGTATTACATGCAATTGTATGACCGAATCACGTTCAGATGAAATTGGTTCAATATGCAGATTGAGTTCAATTAATTATTGTTGAGTAAAAAAAAGGAAATCAATCGATAGAAATGAAGAAAATTAAATTTTCTTTTCTCTGTCTTCCTAAACTTTACTGAGCCAAGAATTGAGATTTTGGATTGCAACACTGAAGGGACAAAAAAAAGCCAAAAATAGTTTCCAATTCAATTGCTATTATCATAATTAAAATTGGAAACATGAAAAAAGAAGAAAGAAAAGAATAGAATTTTATATTTTCAACTTTTTCTCTTCCATGACTTTTATTCAGTGATAATTGAATAAAATTGACTCAAATCTGATACTTTCATCGTTTCCGTTCCAGTTATCATCCAGTGTTGGCGTATTTTTGTCCAAATTCAATTGAATTATCCAAATTTTTCAAGACCTTTACCGGATGACAAAAGCTTCACGCGTTTAATGTAAAATTATTTTGACAAGTTGTTATTGAACAGTGAAATAGTGAACCCAAAATGTACAAGATTATCATTGTCAGTGTAAATATTGTCTATAACTTTAATCTATTAGTAAATGCTATTGATAAATATTTATACTGGGAATGATATTAATAATGATATTCGTTGGGTGAGAACAGGGAAGAAGAAGAAAAAAATGGAAAAGATTAATTTCAATGTTAAACCCGATTGTGAATTGTGTATTTGCTTTATACTGTCGTTTATCATGAAATGCAATTTTGTTTCAATCATGTTCAATGATAAAAATGTATTAATAATTGTTAATAATTGTTAATCGTCTTGTTATTAGGTTTGCATTGAGATGTAAAAATAAAAGCGATCAAACGAAATAAACATTTGTAAAATGTTTTCATCTCATCACGTTAATGCTAAACGTTATCATGAGTTACAATTGAATAAGTTGAATTATCTTGCAATTAGTATTGATTACAATAACTCGATTGACGACAAAAGAGCAAAAATGGTTAAATCATTTTCGCAAGCATTCGTCTGTCCAATAAATTCATCTTGTTTACTGTCTGATCAACTGATTGTTTAGGATTGTTTCCTGAAGATTAAACATGATACTTTTGTGGCTCCAAGAATATGATAAGATTTTCTCATCAAAAATATTGAAATTTGTCCAGACTTGGAGAGTTGAGTTTCATCGAATTTTCCCATTCAGACTTTCAATTTCTTGAAACATTATCTTGAATCTGAATCAAAATGACCTTTGAATAAAAATATTCAATTAAATTCAATTGTTGTGTCAATTATATTTGCCTAGTTTTGTGGAATCAGGCTTTTGTTGGAATCGTTTTTATGCACTTTTCGTGTTAATTACAATGAATACACCTTTTGTTTCTTCATTGTCAGCTAATTTATTTGACAAATGGTTCAACCCATGAACGTTAATGAATAAAAGCTTCAAGAGATAATTAAACAACATTTAAACAAACACACTAAGCACATAATCGTCTAGAGTTTTTTGTCTCTTCTGGTAACCTCGTGTTCTGTATCATTATTGCCATGTTTTTATCGGTAGTCACATAAAGACGAACCAGAAAACAATTAGTAAATGCATAAAAATAATTACAAACAGTTGACTGTAAAGACAAGTGAGAAGTGCAAATAAAAGCAAAACAAGATTTATTCAGGCAAGAAATTGATAACTAATCGTAAGCAAATGTCTTTTCATGTAAATGATAAATGTTATCTCATTATTCACTCCCAATAACGATAACATTTATACAACCATTTGATAGACTCTTAGCTTGTCCAAAGGAAAAGGTTCAAGAGAGGAATGAGGGAAAAAGTTAAACAGAAAATGATATTAAATTGAAATTCAATTGGAATCTGATTGGAGAAGAAAAGAAGAAAAAGGAAAACATGAAATTTTTTCCATCACATTATTGAGACTTGTTGGTGTTATCCAAACTCATCTGTAACTTGTAACATTAGCTGAAGAAAATGTTTCATTTCATTTTCCAATAAATAATGTGTAATAAAAAAGCCTTTTTTCACCTCTTCTTTGTTATCATAAACAAAATTTTTTCTTCAACATTTTCTTTTTTCTATTTTTCTTTTCATCGGAAAACAATTCAGAGAATTCATCCGATAACATATTACAATAGTTCCACCTCAGCTACTGCCTATTACTGTTGGGATGCTGATGATGACTGGGCTGCCATCATAGCCATCTATCAGTTGCTTGTTATGTTTGTCCTTCCTGGAGTTCTAATGGTCATTTGCTACTTTTGTGTTATCCAAGAGCTTTGGGTTAGCACACGGACAATGGCTTCAATGACCAAAAACCCATCCACACCAATCACTGGTTCAACGTCAACCAATGGTACATCAAGTGAGTCTCACATGTCAACCACAACCAGTCAACTAACCTCATCATCAGTCCGCCACGATTACCAGATTACATGAATTTTTAATTTAATTTTGTGATTTTTCATGTTTATTTACCCGATTGGTAAATCAAGCCGCATTAAAAACATAATTAGAGTCCTCTCGAAATTTAATTAATTAAAAAAGCTGAATTAAACTTAATTGTTTATTGTTACACAATTATTAGGAAAATTGTTCGGAAGTGAGTGAGAAATGAATATCAATACATCCTTTTATTTCTCAACAATTTGATTTCGAGATTTTTTTTTGGCAAAAAATTCTGAACATACAGCTTTTCCCTGGAAATGTTTTCAGGAAATTGCTGGAAAAGCAAAAAATTTTTCCACTTTCAGATTGACTTTGATAACGGAAAAACTATCAATTGATAGAAAGATATTTTTTTAGCTTTTACCGTTTCTCAAAAGGCTTTGATTGTTTGCTGCCTTTTTGCTTCATTTGACATTTATTCATAAGTGAATTATCATTATTTCATTCAATATCGATTGTTTCAATTGTTATTTGTTCAACTGGATTCATTGGGAGTTGCTTTCCTCACTTGTCGTCTTTTATAATCTTTGTTAATTTTTTGTAACAAACTTGCATAATCTTTTCAATTGCTTCTTAAACTATTCATCCAAAGAGGCTTTTAAATTACTTCAAGTCTCTTTCACCTGTACACAGCTTTGAATCGTTGATGAAAGCAAAAAAAAACATTGTTCAATTCTCAGTCAGGGAATTCAGTTGTATTATCTATAACTAACTTTCTTCAACTGACTTTCATTTCTTGCAAAGTTAATTAAATATATCAAAATCTGTCCACGAAGTTTTGCTTTCTCATTTCTTCCAACTTTTCGTATCTTTCAATCTCACCTTTACTGGTTTATCAGTGACAGAAATCTCTGCCTAGTTTTGTTCAGCCAATTGAACCCCAATTTCTCAGTTCTGTTCAAGGAACAATCTTTGACTGAAAAATGTTCATTAAAACCAGTTATTTGGAACTTAATATCAATCGAAATGTTGCACGATTTCAAGAGTAAAACACGATAAATGTTGCGATATGTTATTAAATGGATTGGCCATTTCATGTGAAGTTTAGAAAAGCAAACGAATCAAAGTGCTATCATCTTTAATCTTTAAAAGGTTAGATTAGTTTTTCCATTCTTGTTGATAAACCTTTTCTCTTCATTATTAATAGCATTCTCAGTTCAATTAACGGTTCTTTAAATGCTGATAATCAATGAGTAACTTCATCATGTACCATGCTTTTGTTTACCTTTTTCTTTACTTAATCTTCTTTTCTTTCCTTTTGTCAATTTCATTTGATTCAAGTTGCATTCGGTAAATATTAAAATGCCAATTTGCACAATATTTGAGGATAAAAATGAAAATGTTGATAACAGTTGACTTTTTGTTTGGCTTAATCAAAGTTTAACATTTATTAAAATGTTCAATTTGCAAAAACACTGCTAAAAGCAATGTTAATGTAATTTAAAAGGAAATTTTTTTCTTGATATTTACTCTTGTTTACTGTTAAGGAAATGCAAACAATCTCTAAGGCAGAGTCTAGCAGCTAATTGACTCTAATTGTGAAAATATCATTTTCAATTTCAACTGATCAACATTTTGATTTATAGAGTGAAAAATGCTAATCGAAATCAAAGTTTCGAGCTGAGTTTACCTTGAGTTTGACATTAACTGGGAATAGATTTACCAAGTTATATTTACTTCTTACTTTTAGTGGATAGAAGAGGAAAAGTGATAAGTTTTTTCAATTCAACTTTTTGGTTCCAATGTTGGTCATTCTTTTTTTTCCTTCGTGATTCCTGATCAATTCAGGTTATTGTTAATCTGAGAAGGAAAGAAACTTTGCAAGTTGCCTTCAACTAATGGTCTGCGATGCAAGTAATCATTTCAAATGAGCTTATTTTCTATTCGAAAAGTTAACCACAAAAGTAAAAGTTGAAGGATAATCCTTTAAATTCCTTCCCTGTGCATAAATCTTATGTTGCATTGAACTTGGAGTTTGAATTTGATTCATTTACTTTATTCCAGTAAAACGAATTTCACATTTTTGTTGATTGTTCAACATTTTGGGTCCAGGTTCTGGTTTTAATGGGTGACTGAACCTTAAATGTTTTTTAAAATGCTTTATAACAAAAGTTTTAGATAATTTTTCTGATATTTGGCTCTTTCTAATAATACCACAAAAACAGTCTGAAAGTCTGCGCCTTCAAACTGGAATCTAGTCTACTTTGTGGTATCGATTGTAATTTCAATGTTACTTGTCATTGAGATAATTGTCACTAAAATTCGCAAATTATTTCTGAAATCTCGTTTCTATCACATTTTTTCAAACTGATCGCATCACTATTATTTTTTATATTATTTATGCCTGAAAGCATGATATTTCAATGGTTTTCAATGGCAATAAGTTTTCTACAAAATTTAATTACTTTTAGTAGACTTGGGTATAGACTCAGAACCTCTAGTTACAACATTGATTTTCAGGTGGTTTATAAGGAATCAATTTTGATATGCTAAAAATCAAGTCTTTTTATATTATAGTTTTTCTCCACGAGGCTTTTCTTGCCATCCTTTCTCGTTTTTCTTTTCTTTGCTCAAAAATTAGTATTATATTAGTAATACATCAATAATTTTTTTCATCAAAATCTAGACATTTGAGACATTTCCTAACTATTGTTTAGCAAATGAATGTTTACTCAGTGACTTTAGTCAAACATTTAATTCAAACATAAATACAATTTAATACGTTAAGTTGTTAAAAAATTACTTCTTGTTCAATAACAAATAACACAAAAGAGAGGCACAAAAATGTTGCTTCCAGTGCAAAGCACGAAACTGGACTAACTGTTGATTATTTTGACCTTACTTGTAAGTGTAAGAATTTTGTCCATTGCAGTAAGCAGGGACAGTTAATCTCTTCGGTGACAACAAATTATCAATAATCTATTGAATAGTAACTTCAGCAACAAAGGGAGCTCCGGTTAGGTAGTTTTACCTAGATCTATGCTATATAAATCGGTATAAAAATTGATAAATTTTTCCTTCTCATCTTTAAACACATCATAAGTGTCGGAATATGAAATTTTATTGAGTCAAGCCGCGAAAGTTGATCTAGATTGAGCCTCTTATTAATTCAGATTAAATTAAGATCTTTGCTTGAGCTGATCTACCCTAAAATTAAACTTATCTTGAGTTTGGCATTGTAACAAAACAATAAGAAAAATTTAAACAATCGAAAATAAATTAATTAATGAGCACAATTTGTTTTTACACTTTAAGCGTTGTTTCCATTGATTTGTCCCAGATTGTGTTTGAGATCCGGACATTTTATACACTAGTGTTCGTAAGCCTATCAAGTGACATCCAAAATAATTTTCTTCGCTAGTTTCAGGATTACTTAACACAGAGAACAGGTAGTTTCATCTTTGAAGCATTTAAAAACTTGCATCGCGTGTTATGGAGAGTTATATTTGAATCTGAATTTCATGTATACTCTTTCATCGTAAACAAAACAATTTAATTTTCATCAGTGACATTGATTAATTTGACTGCAACCCTCTGAAAATAACTGTGTTTACTCGTTTAATTTATCCGTATCTGGTTAATACAATTATCTGGGTTCCTGTCCGTCAATTTTTCGTGTAAACTATAAGAAAAGTTAATGTGAAAAGAAATAGCTCAAGGTTTCGATCTCAGTTGTTGAAAACGAACCTTAGAAATATCGTTATAAAATGAGGCAAACTTGCTGTCTGCCATTGAACATATTCAAAATGAATTTAAAATATTGATAATTTCTGCAAATCAAAATTTGTACCTCAAAGAAGTGGGCAGTCCCACTCCTTTGCCAGAAACCTTATTTTCAAATTATTTTCCGATCGATTGTTGATCATGCTAATGTTCGAAAATATTTTTCTTACTCGTAGCCCTTTTCTGTACAATTAACCAAATAATTGTTTGATCAATTTTTATTGGAGAGGTTTTGGGATTTGATTATCTACACACGCGAAAGGTTGACGGACGAAAAGTTGAGCGACATAGAAGTTTGTTCTTTGACTATCAATGATTTGTGATGAATTGAATTTCCGTTTAATATTAAAAAAGATTCTTTCAAGTTTAGTCGATCTGTGAAAAAACAGAAAAATTGAACAGTTTACAGTGAAACACGCAAAGAGCCCATTGAAATTTGACTTAAGATGAAAATTTGTTCTCAGACTGAATTTAATCAGAATCAGCAGAAATTTTTTCTTTTAAATCTTCTAAATCAGATGAAATGAAACTTTTCACAAAAGCTCACATTGAAAGACAACACTGTTGTCTTAATTTCAAGGTTTCCTTTTCATCAAAGTGTCTCATTTGCCAACATGTTTATCATATTGAATACCAAAAGCGATAACCTTAACTGGATTCAATTGAACATTGAAATAACAAACAAGGAAACATGAAACCATAATTCAATGAAAATTATTCAATATTTATCATTTTTCTAATCAATCTTGATCAAAGCTTATTCCAATTAACAGGGAAGGAAAACTACATAACTTTGATAACCTCTTTTGAAATCAAACTCCAAGTAACCTGTGCGGGAGTATTCCTAGACAAACTATAAAACCATTTTTTTTAACTAAATATATGCTCAATATGCTTGAAATTTTACAGAAAGGATTCAAAAGGGCTTATCTTTATTCATACCAAATTTGGTTTGAATAGCTTTATTAATTAACGAGATTTTTCATTAATTTAGTGCGTTTGACGCAGCTCAAAACCTTCAATTTTGGAAGGGCCTGAAATCACGCAACTTCAAAGTAATACAGTGTCAATTGTATTGCACCAATTCTTCTTTTTAAAACTTCTTATGATTGCCTGAAGTCTAAAGTGTATGTTAGTGCTTTGTTGGGGCTAAATAAACGCTCCAATCAAAAAATATAAGCAAATTATTAAAAAAAAAGTTTAAACCCGAAATTTAACAAGCTTAAGAAAAACCTTTAACAAAAAGTTAATCTTGGCTGTCAGAGGGATTTTGATAATTTGAGGTGAAAATGCTGATTTTAAGCTTTCGAACGATGTATGAAAAAATTTATATATGACATTAAACAATTGTTAAATTTTATCATGAAAATTTGTCTAGAAATACTTCCGCACAGGTTAATTCATTCATTTCAACAAAACTGAAAACATTCTTTCAACTTTTCCAGTTTCAATGTTTTCTCAAAACTAATTTCCCTGTCAACACACATGAAGTTCGAGTATCATTAAACACGCCAAAACATGAAATTTTTCATTTCCATTGATTTTGTAAAACAATCATGAAATGTTCAATCACATTCGAATGGAAACAACTCGAAATTTGAAAAACGTTCAGTTTCCATGTAAACACAATGTCAACATTTGCTAATCATTTTTTTAATCAAAAGTCGACTTTTGACGTCGACTTTTTGTCAAGTCAATTTGTCACTCCAGAAACTAATCAATCTTTAATCATCAGTCTTGATTGAAACACATTTCTTTGAAACATAATCATGAAATTAGCTATTGTTGTATTGAACGAAGAAAAGAGTAAAAAATGAACCAACAAAAGAAGGGGAAAATTTTCACATTTTCATTTTCATCATCACTAGCAGAGGTGAAAAGAATGTTAAATAAAGAGGTTAAAAAAAGGAAAATTGGAAACTTCTTGAAATGCATTTTTTTCCAGTCACCAGGATTACAGAATTTAAGTCACCATGAGCTTCAAGAATGATTGAGAAGAGGAGAAAATTTGAAATCATGAATAAGATTATCATTAGTGATTATAAAGCTCATGATTGACAACGAGGCAAAGTTTTGCCAAAGATAATTGAAGCTGTAAGAATTTGAAGGTAAAAAAAGGAATCGACTAATAACACGTTTAACAAAATTACAGATTTGACTTTCATGATCAGATTTACTCGGAACAAGTATGATGCAGGAGAGAAAAAACTTTACTCATGATGAACCATTGAGATTGTTTCAGTTGATTCAAGAGTTTACTCGGAAAAGAGCAACATTTAAGAAAAGGTTAAAAAAGAGAAATTACTTTGTTTCAAATAATTTCCAATTCAAATAATTCCATGTTTAGTTATTCTTCTCTCATAACCATCAATTGATTGTTGATGTTCAATGTTTACTCCAACCAAAAGTTCAACCTGTAATCCAAGATGAAACTCGATTCTTGCATCAAATTGTTTAGCTTTTCATTTGATTCAACAAAAAATATTTGTTGTCCCATTTGGAAGCTCAAGGTTTTACGTAAAAAAGCGTTTCAAGATTCATTGATTCAACAGTCAAATCTTGTATCATGATGAGGAGAAATGCTTATTATACAAAAATTTTTTTTCCTTTTCCTTGAGAAATGCAAGAATCGAAGTTTCGAAATTTTCTTTTCTCTCAGATATTCATGAGCATCGTGATGCTTCAAAATTGATTGGAATTTCAATGTCTCAGAAAATGAACCTTTTCACTCATCATTCTATTCCCATCTCATCTCAACATTTTAATCTTTTTTTATTTCCAATTTTGAGCTGAAAAAGAAAACAAAATTTGTGTGAAAAGAAGAAAAAAATTTGACTAAAATTTGAAACTCATTTTGATTGTTGACAATTATGGACAATTTGTCCAGTTTTGAAGGTTAAACGATAATGTTTACTCCCAGTCAAAGTGTGATAAGAAAACCTCCCAACTGTCATTTTCAGGACATCTTTAGTAATTTATAACACTATCATTGTTGGTAATGTTTTTTGCTTCTTCATCAACATTTTGCCAAAGTTCATCCATTGAATCCTTTCAACATGAGGAATAAATCTAATCATTATTTGGAAAACTGTTTAAAACGATATTCTCCTTTTGACATTACCATTGACAATAAACTTGGCTATAATTGAATAGCAAAATGAGTTACATTTAAATTCAAACTCATCGAGTTGGTTTAACAGGAGGATGAAGCAAAAAATGTGTTCAATTTGCTTCTTCTTTGTCCTAGTTTTATTCATATTTTTTCTGCTCAGTTTTTTTTCTTCTCTGGTTTTTTCTTGCTCGATATTCACCGATGAACAAGTTTCATCAGCTTTCAACCTGGATTCACAATTTCATCTCACCCTCTTTTCATACTTCATCACTCTTCAACTTTTGGCTTGTTTTGTTATTTAAATTTTACCTCACTTTATTGAGGAATAATAAATGTTTAATAAGTTTGATCGGCAACATTTCAATTTTGTTATTTCAATGTTTAATATCCTTTACTCGTAGCCACATTAAAATGCATTATAAAGCAAACTTTTCCAGGTTCAAAGTTTTATTTATTCAAGGGTTCATAGTTTTCATACAATCCTGTCAGTGATCAGTTTTTGACGGAAAAATTATCCATTGATGTTTCGTAATGGGAAACTCAATTTTTACTCCAACAGCTCAAGTAAATCTGTTTGTTCAACAACAGAAAAGGGATTATCAAATGTAATTATATTTGGACAGTAATTTGTAGACATTGTACTAATTGAGTCCACAGTCGAAACAAACGATGTACCTTTTATTAATGGACAAGACTGATAAATAGGATTTAGTTCAACCTATTATTAGCATTCCTATTATTAGACTGTCAACTTGCAGTGTTTACCCGAAAAAGATAAGCTCAGTAAATTGTTTCGCGTTAATTATTGCAACCGTCAATTAGACATCATTCAACTTCGATATAATCGCTTCAATCATCAGATGATTCAACTTTCTTCTGCACTTTTTCCCCAAGCCTTTCGATCTAATGACATCTTTTGCTTTCAAACTAGACTTGAAAATCTTTTCAGAATCAGATTAAGATGCAAAAGAAAAAGTTGACCGAAGATCATTTCTGACGAAAAAAGTTCTGAAGTTTGAGAAAAGACTGCGCTTTTTGTCAGTCGATGAAAATGGGTTTGCAATGGTGAAAGTAAAGCCTAGTTTGATGTCGAAATTTGAAGCTTAAACTTTAATCAAATAACCTGTTGCTTTAAACTGTTTGAATATGATCTTGTGTTTCAGTAAAAGTAAATATTTGTAAAAGAAAGAAAAGATTTCTCGAAAGATGCTATTTTCTGGCTTGAGAATCCCAGAGGAAAGGTATTTGACTCCCTGCAGTCCAAGCAAGATAATGAGACTTTTACATTCCTTTCAACTTACCTTTCAACTGGGTTCGCTTTGGATAATTCAAAGCGAGTTGCACATTCCAAATGACCTTTTAATGGTTAACAAAATGATTGGAGCAATTTTTCAAGATTGCCAGATTTGCTTTTCACCAAAAAGTTCAATTTGCTATCACCTTTCCTCAGGAAGCCAGGTAACATTGTAACAATGAACAACTGAAATGAGACATGAAATAATGAGGCAAGGGTAAAGAGAAAAAAGGTGAAAAGAAGATCAAAATGAGGTTCGAAAAAGTTGCTAGACATGAACAGGAATGTGTCAGGTAAAAAAATAAATCACAATTTGGCAAAAAATGCAAGCTTTTCAAATTGTACACATTTTCAATTTAAGTTTTGAGTGAATGTAGGAAACAAAGAAAATGTGAAATGTGAACAAAAAAGTCAAAAGTGATGAGAAAAGGGTTAAGAAAAGAAAAATTATGTAAACAGAAAAAGAGATTCCTGTAGATGATATTTTCATTAGAGACATGTAAATGCCTTTATAGCTTTTATTCGTATCATCATTCATGGCATTTCTTGTTTATTTACCATCAAATAATTATCATGTAAAATAACAGAAAGGGTTGCAAGGCAAATTTTTCATTCTTTTTTTTTCTTCAAAACTTGGTTCGAAACAAGAATTCAACTTACATGATAATTTGATAGCGACTTTAACTGATATTTACATTCATCTTGCTTACAGTCAACCTTTACTTTTGTCAAATTTCAGCCTTTTTTGGTCCAATTTAACTCCTTTAATCTTTCGATTAAACATGTAAAACTAATTTGTACTCAAATGCTTCAAGATAATAGTTAATTGAAAGAGAATACATTTTAAACTTGAAAATTCAATTGTAAATTTAATGATTCGATTGAATTGATAACTCAATTGTTCTTCAAATCAATTCAACATTTTGTCAGTTAAGCTGATTGCCATAATAAATTTTATCGTCAAGGTTCGAGTTTAATTTCAAAGAAAATGTTTACAGTAAAATTAGCAAAACTTACGATCGTTAGAGAATGATCGAAACTCGATCAAAATCTTTTCAATCATTTCAATTTTATGATTGAAATAAATTTTCTTTCTTTAACCCAAATTTGGCTTTAAAAGTTTTTGTAATTATATTATAATAACGATAAAGAAATGGCAATCATCTAATGAAATGAACTGTTAAATTTTTTCCATCTGATATCGATTATTCAGTTGGAATATTTTCAAGTTGCTTTGATTCGTTGTTCATTTTCATTATTCATAGAGCACGAAATTGCTTTAAATCTTGTAACCAACATTTCGCTTCTAATTTTTCACTCTTGAGCGTTGACAAATGACAACGAATTATCTGTTTACTTCTAAAATCCACTGATTTTATACGAATGGATGATTTAAGTCATGATTACCATTTTAATTAATTTAAGGATCGAGTCTGAAAATTGTCGATCCAATGCTAATAACAAAAGAAGATGTCTATTCATTTTAAACGTTCGCTCCATCAGTCTTATTACACACCAAACTTACGATAATTTTTTCCCACTCGTGACTGTTTTCATTCCTAACGACGAACTCTGTAACATTGAAACTTGAAGTTGCTCTGCAAACAAATGGCAATTATCGTTATTTGATTGAATCTTTATTTTCTTTTAATTGCAGGTGATAAAGATGTTGATTTTTGTCGTTTTAATATTCCTATTTTGCTGGGGTCCGAGGCTCATAATTAACGTTGTCATAAAATTTGGCCTTCAAGATTATAATCAAACAATATATTCAGCTAGAGTAACCTGTTACCTGTTATCGTTCATCCATTCAGCCCTTAATCCGTTCATTTATGGTTTCATGTCAACCAATTTTCGTAAAATGATGTGCTCATCTTGTTCTCACCATGGGCAAACCTCACAGTCGGTCAATTACATCAACAACAATACTGGAAGCTGTTCCCTTGCCAGTGGTGTTGTCCCAGGGTTGGGTCTCAATGCGACTCCCTTGACAAGCCTGAATGTCGCTGTAACTCCGAGTGATCTTCATTCATCTCAACATCAACACATTCACCACATAATCGGCTGTGTTTCCAATTCACTGTTGAATGAGAAAATGATTATTGAAGGTAACAACCATTTACCTCAACAAATGAACTCATTTTTAATCAACAATGACAGTGTTCTCATTGATTCCAACTCGTGTCCAGGACAAATTGAATACGATCTTTCGAGTTACTCTTCAAGTGATAAACCAACTTCAAACCATAAAACAGTCAACTGTTTGTCCATAAAACCAACGGGGACCGAAACCCTGTAAACAGTAAACTTTTTTTTCTACCAAACAACTCGTTAACTTTGATCAACAACCAATTCTTACACAAAACTGAATACCTTTTTTACATCGTATTCTTGATTACAAAGTTTCAAGTTTAACTTTGAATCTTTCAGCTGATATAAAATTACAACGAAATGAAAAGTTAAGGCCCAAAATAGTTTCCCTTCATTTTCAGCATTTATTTTCAATCCATAAATTGATTACCAACTTTACCAATCAACTGATATGAACAAAAATTGTGAACAAAACCAACTTCTCTCATTTCATTGTAAAGCAATCATACAATTTCAATTAACTGGAGAAAGCATAAAAATATTCAAAATGAAAATGACAAATATTATTGTAACAAAATGTAATATATTAAAATGGTTTAGTTTATCAAAATGTTAACCTTTAACTGAATGAAAGACAGGAAAGACTGAAAAGTTGAAAATATCGACCATTGAATCTCTATTCATAATGTGCCCAAAGTATTCAATATGGAAGGTCAAATTGTTATTAAAAACTTGATAAATGAATATAAGAAAATATCATTTCCTAATTCATGAGAGAAGCCATAATTGATATTCAATGATTGAAATGATGAAATCCAACAATCGCTATTGAAATGCATGCATAATGGTTACAGAATTGATAGTAAAATTACTAAAGGAATGAAGGAAGAAAAGTTAACAATAAAAATCATAATTTCGTATTTAGATATTTGATTGTTGAAACAATTTATTTTACCTTAGCTAAAGGTTTTAGTCAAGTTTGTTCGAGTGTTGAACTTGCTATTTTCACGAAAACTCGGATTCAGTGGGTTTAACTTGGAAAGGTTAACTCATCCATCAAAAGCTATAAATCAAGTTGGTAGCAATTTCAGTTGAACCATTATCATTATTATGGACTATGAAGATGATGATAGTCTGCCTTGTAATGGTTGTTACCTTATTACACTGTTGGGTGACAAAGGAAAGGTCACATTGTTTTTGGGTTTCCCTTTGAGAAGCAAAAAAACTGACGCTGAAAATGATGGACAATCAATTGTATGTTTTGCTGGATGATTGATGTTGCTTTCATTTTGCCTTTTTCCCTTGTTTTATGTGATTCCGTTCATCCTGTTGTTGGGGATTTACTTTGAATCAATCTGTGGATAAATTGAGTACAAAATTGTACGATTAACTGTTGGGTTTGTTCATATGGAATGAGAAACGAACACGAGTCAACAAAAGTTAATCTCTAAAATTTGTCCTTTTTCTTCTTCTTTTTTTTGTATTTGTTTGTTTCTTCTATTGTTTTACCTTTGGTTTTGATTACTTGTTTGTTGCTCATCTTGTTTGCTTTTTCAAGTTGAAATAGTTCATTGGGTTTCATGACAGTTATCAGAAGGTATCAAGGTGATAGAATGAATACTTGGATGAACCAGTCAGAAGGAAAGTTTAGTTTTTAAAATTGAAGTGAATTGGGTTGAAGCAAGAGAAATCAAAGTTATCATTGAATATGACATTAAATGTGTAATCCCATTGGCAATTGAGGTGACAATTGAATCTATCAAATTTTATTATCGTCTCAATGGTTCCATTGATCAAAGTGCACAAACCCAAAGGTATAATTTTACTAACTGTTAGTTGACTTTACGTTCATTTTTGCTTAACCAGGCAACTTCAATTTACATTCAATTTTAAGGCGACAATTATTTATATCAAACGAAACTCTTTATTCCTTCATTAGTTTCAATTGAATTGAATCTATTAGTACACATATTTATGAGCTGTTGAAGAGATCTCAATAGTCATAAAACTATTGATATTAAATGAAAAGTCGTACATTTGGTAAACACTTTTAAACGTTGGAGGCAACTCAATATCCATCTCAACATGATTCTACTGGAAAATATCAGCATTAAGGGTTTGTTGCTATTTTCATTATTTATTGTTAAGTCAAAATTATGATGAATAAACTGGTTCAAGATGCACCTTTTACTTGCTTTTTTTTTGATTTTTTTACCCAAAAACATTGAATTATTTTCTTATTGAAATCATTTAAAAACAATAAATTTATCGGACTTAACCTGAAAGATTGAAGGAAAAAAATCAGCTCAAACTGAAAGACTTGACAGAAACAGAAATTTTTTCTTCAAAAATAAGGATATTTTCTGGTTGGACATTGAAAGTTACACCAGAAAATGAGTTTGATGAAAAAATCTGGTTCAAGTGCACAAAGGCATTTGAAGTTTCAACTTTCAGCCCGATTTTCTCGAAAACTATCGATCATAAAAATTTCTGGATGCCACTAATGGACTCGATTTTCAGGCCGATACAAACCTAAGCAGTTCACTCTCTTAACTCGAAAGATTTTTCGCATTTACTCCTTGCTTTCAGAATTTTATAGATAATTTCAAGACTTTTACTGATACATTGTAACGCTCACAAGATGTTTAAAGTTATAAGTTTATTTAACTTTTGGTTAATAATTACAATAATAAACTGATTGTTCAATTTTAAAATGATGATCATCAAATAAATAAATGTTGATTTTCAATGAACAAGATTGGGTTAACATTTAATCCAATTATCCTTTAATGTTTACTCATTACACTTTGGTCACTTGTAGCTCTTTAATTTCCTTTGATAATTAGCTGGATCAAGGCAACAAATTGGTAATTTTGTTTACCTTAATTGCAAGATTAAGTTGAAAGTAAAATAATTAACTTGTCTGATGAGCAAAAATTTAATAGAAAAAGCTATTCAAGCAATTGATTAATTTTTCACTGCAAAAAAATGTCCAAAATTACTGATTCCATCTTTGAATTAGAGTCGAGACAAAAATGTTTTAAAAACTAATATCTTGTCAATCAAAAAGGTATTACAACTGCAACATGATTAGACCTGTAACTAATGTCTAATAAAAATACTAACAACTGAATGATAATCAAAGGAACATAAAGAGTTGCATTATAACATGGAAATGAAACTCGATGGACTCATTGAAGTGACTCTTTTTGTTTTCATGTGACAAGTTTCATTGAAATAATAACCATTTCTGCAAGTCCAATGGTTATGATGATGGAAATGATGACAATGATGAAGGTTAAGGTGACTCGGAATCAGTGTAATAGCCAATATGATGGACAGTAAAAGGTTGAACCCTTTTAATGCCAAAAGTTGAGTAAATCATCGACCATTTGAGGATGTCCATAATAACGGATTGGAGCATAAGCACTTTCCAGTGAATAATAGTGTGTCCAAAGATTATCCCAGTCTTTGAGTTTAAAAACATAAGCAGTTAAACCAAAAGGTTTACCCTTCATTGAATAACCTCCTTTGGGTAAACCGTAAAACATACGCTTGGAATAATGATAAACATTGGGTTCATCGTTAAGGTAAGCTGGATGGTAACTGTAATAACCAGCATAAAAGTCTTGACTTGTTGAGAGGCAGAAAAGGTTGACTAACATGAAAAGGTTGAGACAATTTAACTTCAATCCAATTTTAACATTGGCATCACTCACTGGCAAACACATATCTTTGGTAGACACTGTAACTGAAACCAGCTCATTGGCAGTAAAACGACATTAAAAGGTTCACAAATTGATTTATCAAATAACTTTACAAAGAAAACATTTCAACGAAAAAACAAGTCGAGAAATGGCCTGACTGGAAACACGGGAAAGTTGAAAGTTGATCTTGGATGGATTAGCGAGAATTGATGACAAAAAATGGTTATCGGGTTTTAGGTTGAAACCTGTTCAGCGGGAGCCAACTTTCACCATTTTCATCTTTTTTTTTTCATCTTGATTCATCTTCTCTCAAGTTTCATCTCAACGATTAATATTAGACGTTTAATCTAATTAATTACAAGATTAAAGAATCAGGTCAAAGGTTGTCTAATGAGTCTTGTTCACTTTCTATTTCTCATCATCATCATTTCAACTGTTGTTATTACTTTAATGGGAAACCAGTTTTTTGTTTAAAATTTACCTTTTAAATGAGTTTACTTGTTACTTGGGTTAAATTTAACCATTTACATGTTATGATATGGTCATCCTATTTGGGTTCATCTTTATAATTGTAAGGTTATATTGTGTCTTATCACTATTACAACTTCAATTATATAACCAGTATTTTACCTGGTCATTATGATGATATAATAATTTTTGTTTAAACCGTTATTTCTTGCTTTCTATTTTCGTATAAATTACATCAACTACTAACCTTTTGTTACTTTTTATTGTAGTTAATACTGCTGCTGTTTTCTTGATTGTTGCTTTCACCATTAAACCTTTCCATAATCATGATTAGGTAAAATTTGAATACAACGTTTTGGATCCATCAATTCATTAGCAGCTCTTGAAAGATGTACAATGCTCAGGAAATGTCTTGAGTTTGGTTCAAAATTTAACATTTAAATTTGTGATCAAATTTGGATTGTTGTTTAAAGGTATAAATGACTTTAAACATCATTAAAATGATGCCAAATTGTTTCTTGCCAATTAGTAAATCGTCATCTTGATGGACTGAGTTCAATTGACTTGACTCATTGTCTTTCTGGTTAACATGTTTACATGATTAGACAAAGTCAAACCCAAAAGCAAAAAAGAGATGAAAATTGGTGAAAAAAATGCTGACCCAATCGGAGAAGCGTTCAATTAACTCATTGATTAGCGTATAATGACAATGATTAAGATGATCAAATGCGCTTGTCAAAGAGTCTTTAAAATGGGCAAACAATTGAAATTTGAAAAGGCAACTTGATAGGTAAAAACAGTCGGTTAACCTTTGCCTGTCAACAGATTATGAAGAGACCCAAAACACCAACTAATCAGATTTATTTATATATAAATATATATGTTTATACTAATCAAAATGATTGATATGTTTAATTTGAAATCATTTTTCTTATTATTTATAATCATCTTTTGTTACCAAACAATATTAATCAACACAATTTACAGTCAAACATAATGGGTGAAAAAAAGGCTGAAGGTGATTGGGTTGAGGTAAAGAGGCAAGTGTTTACAATAAGCTGGATAAAAATGGCTGTAAAAATGACAAATGTTTGATGATCGAAACATTAAATGTTGAATCAACAATTGAACAATAATTGATCAACAATCGGCCAATAAGCAGGGATTGAGTGAAGAAAAGGTGGAAAAATTGAAATGAAATATTAGGAGCCGTAAAAAAAAGATGAATGCTTTGAAGATGGAAAAGTTTCATGATTAAATGGTTTATTAGATTGTGATTATGATTGTTATTGTTGTTACTTTAATCGCAACAATTGGACAAATTGCTTTACTGGACAATAGGCTCTAATAGACCGGAATCATTGAAGTCAAATAATCAGCAAATAAAAAATAATCATCTACAGTAAATTGTTAATGTTAAATAATTTGTTTTGGTAAAGTCAATGTTGCCTTTTTTCAACGCTTCTTCAATTTCTCATCATTTACTGATTACTTAACTCTTGATTGTTCCAATGATTTTTTTTTGCCTTTTTTGCTACTTCACGTTGAACAGCTCTCATGATGATTGACCTTAACATGTTGATAGGATCAGAAATGGTAAGCAAAGGCTTATGTGTTATTGTAATACGATTGTTTGTTTATTGACTGTTGAGTGTCTTTACTCAATCACTTGGTTCATTTTTGATTGTTTTTCATTCTTGGTCAATATTATTCTCATCATTTTGTAAGTTCAAGGTTAATTAACATTGATTTTCTTCTCAACTTTCATTAATCTGTTAACTGAACCGTAATCAAGTCCAATGAACTTGATACAATTGTTTCTCTGTTTAAGTTGCCCGCGTCAAATCGTTGTTCAATTACTATTGGTTAAAGAGAGATCGTCTGTTGAGCGCCTTTCAATGTGTGCTTTGTTAATCACAATTTACTGTTAATGGTATAACATTTATTTAGGTGATTTTAATTTGTTTTTTTGAATTCTGTTTATTGTCATCTTGAGAAAAATGTTTAATCAATTGATCAACAATTTAAATGTAAGCTTGTGTGATCATTTCTTTGTTTACATGAAAGATTTGACTTGTTTGTCATCATCAATCATCAACACCAAATCAATCCATCAGCTGCCAATTTCTTAATACAGTGATTAACCTTTACTTTGGAAATAATTAATTGTTACCAAAAAGCTCAAAAATGGTAAGATATTAATTGGATTAATCATATTGTATGGTCAACAAACTTGTTAACAGTTAACCGTTAACGTTGACCTTTAGCTTTGTGTAAGCCAGCTGTTTAATAAGCCATTGATTAATCTTTCTTGTATTACTAGGGTCAGGTTGTATCGTTGAAAGTTGATTTGATTCACTTGAACGTTTAGAACTGGACTCAATGCTTAACCGTTACAGGTTAATTATCAATGGACGATTGACATGTATAAATGTATCAGCTAAGTGAATGTCAACTGGACCTTAAAAAGTAAGTAAATGCAATTTTTGCTGCTTATGATTTTAAAAGTGAAATTTCTGACCTTTTTTTCAGGCCTAAAGATCACATACTTTTTTCATGGTCAAATGCTTGCTAATGCAAATTTGTTGACAGAGTCACTAAAATGGCAATTAAACAAACGTATAAATACTCTGGTCGCAATCTTGGTATTGTTTAGTTTGTTTCAAGTTTGTAGTTAGAATTACAATTTAAAAATCAAAAATGGACAAACATTATCAGGTGAGTTAATTTTATTTTGAAAATTGTCTCTTATTCATTTTAAAATGTTTTTTTCTTGTTTTGCTCGTCAGTTTCTGTTGGTTTTGGTGGCACTTATGGCTTTAATTCAACTTTCAACTCAGTATCTTTACCATTCCTTTTATCCTTATTATTTCCCTGATTTTGGTGGATATGGATTTGGTTATGGATTCCGAGCTTTTAATGGGAGAAGATAATTGGTTCACTTATCATCATCATCACCCCTTAACCACTAACACCTCCAATAACAATATTGAATTGTTACTTCTTACATTCAACATCTTGAAAAAGCTTTAAATGATATGTTTATGTGTTTGTTCATCAGCTCAACATGCTATCAATCAAATAATGATTCTTCCGTTTGTGAAAATGATGTTAATATTGTTGTTACTGGTGATAATAATAGTGATGATAATGGCAATCTTGGAATAATTTATCAACAATTTTTCAACACAATTCACCTATTAAGCTTGATTTTCATGGATTTAATATTTATGTTTTCCATTTTTCTTCTACATCGAGTAGGAAGAAAGGTTCATGCTGTAATAAAATTATGTTAATCCAGTCAATAAAGATTGATTCTAATTGTAATCATGAAGTAAATCTTTTCCGTTGTTTCATAACATTAAATGCTAAACTTTCAAAGTTTGAGCTAATTTGAAATCAGATCAATGAAAATTTAAATTGGATCAACCTCGTTTCTATTGTAACCTTTCATTGTTCACAAAAGTATCAAATGTCTAATAGCCACAAGTGAAGGGTTAAAATTAAATTGATTGAAGATTTATCCTTTTGAACGGCATTATAAAGACGCGTATCAATAAAATGAATTGTTGCTTCATATTTTGTAACACAAAGAGTATTCTGACAATAATGAAACGATCATACTTTCATTAAACAGTCTAGTCTTATTAATGGGTTTGTATTATTTAATGTGATCTCTTAAACGATTTTTAATTGGCGATTGAAAATTTTCATCTTATAATATTTACCAATTTGAACTAAATATCGTGATAAATAATATTGATTCATACAATCATGCAATAAAAATTTGTCAAGTTGTATTGTAATAGGCAGACGATCTTAATTTTCATTAAAACATTTTAATCTTATTAATAGATTGTGTATTTGATACAGCTTTCAATTGGTGAAAGTTGCGTACAGTAATACATTTCGCTCAGTAAGGCTAATTATTTTTATTTGCATCTTATCTATTGTGCACTCAGTAACTTATGTAACACATGATGAATCATTTTTTTCATTCTGAGATCGATAAACAAATGTGGCAATTGACAAGCTTAATGAATCTACACATAAAGTGGGGTAGATGATATATTTTACTACCAACTCTTTTTCAACGAACCATAACTTGAAAATCCATCTGGTCTAGGCGGTGTTCCTGAAGGTGGTAAGGTTTGAAATCTCCAGATGATTGAAGAACCTCTTTTAAGGTTACCCATGGAACTAAGATGATTCCAGCATTCAGTCCAACTGATGAATTCGGGTTCAAGATTGGCAGCTTGGATAGACTTACAGCCATTAACAGCCATGACAGTAGAAACCAGATTGAAGGGATAAAGAACAGCAGGGACTATGAAGTTAACAATTGTAGTAAGGATAGAGCTATACTCGGGTGTATTAAAATAAGGCTTAATAAGAAGAATGATGATGCTTTTAGTTACCACAAGACACGAAAGTTCACCGATCAATCTAGGTACAAAACCAGAATAAAACCCAAGTAATCCTTCATTATTAACAATATCTTTGATTGCAGAGAAAGGGAAATCATAAACTGTTTCTTTGCCAACAAAAGATGCGAAATTGCGAATCAACAGAACATGGAAAGGATAAGATGCTACAAGTGCACCAGTTATACACAGTCCATCTCTGGCAACAACTCTAGTTAGCTCGTCAAAGCTACTTGAAAAGTCAATGGGAACATTTTGTCTTCGTCCATCTTTATGCAGTTTTATAATTAAATTGGGTGCTGGTTGATATTCAGTTGTAGTCACCTCGGCACTATCCTCGGATAAATCTGGAGTGGTAATCTGTCAATAATGGAAAAACATTTTTAGTTGAGAAATATTGATGAAGGATTGCAAAAATAAAAAAAATACATTACCTGCAAGTAAGGACAGTATTTACCAACGTTTTTTTCAATATAATTGTAAGTATATCTATAACTGAAATAATCGATGACATTGTAAGGGAGACCTCTAAATATTCCTGTTACCCCTTCGTGTCTGAAAACAAAGCCAAGGTAAGATAATGCACCGGGAAGTCCAATTTTAGGTCGTCCAAAAATGTTACGAGTTGGAAAAGATGGTAATGGTTCATATCCAATTTGAATGAGAGTCTTGGCTAAATCAAACGGATGTTTAACTACACAGATGACAAGTTTAGCAACATCGTTGTGAGCCTCAAATGACAACTCATGTTCATTTTGATTTTGATCAGCCATTTTAAAATTCAATGAATAAAGTAAGTATAATGTACGTTAATTATTTGTAGCCGTAACTTCACTGTTTGCAAAAAAAGTATTTCCTGAAATTAACTACATCAGATGAAAATACAAATAATTACAGAGATTTTTATTTCATTTCAAGTGGCGACATCTCATGGTATCTATGAGATGTAAATCTAGCATTAATATGAAAACCGGCAATTTTGAGCATAAATTCACTAAAAGAATGTCAAGTCGACATAAATCATATTTTTGGTTACAATTTATCAAAATTAATTGCAAGACGAAAGTGATTTATGGTAAAAATTAGGCCAAGAATTTACTTCTTGTACAAGCATAACGTCAGACTAACCTGGTATGGTAAAGCTGATGTAAGCAGCTTAGTTGGTATTTCATCATTATCATCATTTGTTTTGATCCATTGTTTTATTACTGCTTTTTAATCTAGGTTAGGTGCAATTAAAAATCCTTTCATGTTACTATCAGCATAATTTGTAGATTAAGTTGATCATAAAATAGAGCTGAAACACTGATAACAAGGGTGGGATTATTTATTACATTTTCATCATTTGATTCTGAATCAAAGATACTGATTTGTTTAGTTCGTTTGAGCAGCTAAATATTTTCATTTCTTATATTTCCGATGGAGAACAGTTTTTATGCCATTGCTTATTCGATTCTGGGACAATGAACTTTTTAATTTGTCTACGCTCAGTATAAATAAAAAAGAGATTCGACGATTCATCCCTTTTATTAGATTTTTAATTCATATTAAACATGCTGATATCTACATGGCACTTCTAGACGAGGTGTTTAACCTTGCAGCCTCTTTGAAGAGCTGATAGTGAGGATTCAAATACTCGATTATTTTTGCATGGGAATAGAATATTATTCGACTATTACAGATATTCGAATGCTTTATTATTTAATGAAATTCAAAATTTTGTTTACCTGTATTTTCTGAAGCTTGACGAAGTTTTACTCAATTCAGATGCTCACTTGATCCAAAATTATCTGGCGAGCTTGTGATATCTCAACACGCGTCTCAACCAGATGAATAAGAAATATTCAATAAATTGAGCAAAAATAAAATACATTAGCGACTAATTGTAAATGTCTGGTAAATTATACACAAACAAGTTAAATAAACTGAGAAGTTAATTTACATGATTCCGAGTCTAAGGTTTTTAGGTTAAAACATTGTAATATTTGTTCAATTGTTGTTTTCAAACAATTTACTGGTTGAAATGCGGTAAATATAATAATTGAAGTGACAAAAACAGTTACACCGTTTCAATAAAAGCTATAAAGGGTTGAATTCAGAGTTGAAGTTGAAGCTTAGTATTTTTCAAATTGTTAACTGTTATGAAATTCATGATATCTAAATGTTCAACTTATTAGTACGGATCACTTTTTACATTTCAATTGTTCACCAATCTCATGGAGTAACTGATGATGGAGCAGATGCTTCATCGATTGACTCAACTAATCCCGATTTTGCTGAAGAACAAGCATTTCTCCAGCTTTTCGGAAGTAAAGATCCGGATGAAGCAGCAACTTGTGGACAACTCATTGAGTCTCGGGGGTTTGAATACGAGGTTCATTATGTGACAACTGCCGATGGTTATATCCTTCAAAATTTCCGCATCATCAATCGTTATGCCAGAGAATCTGGAAGAAATCTTAAACCCGTCTTACTACTGCACGGCCTAACAAATTCATGTTCAAATTGGTTGATGAACTCGCCAGGTGGACACATAAAGCCATGGATAAATGGCCATCCACCAAATGACACTTCGAACTCAGTTGCTTTCTTATTGGCCAACTTGGGTTTCGATGTTTGGTTGATTAACGTTCGAGGAACATCCTATTCAACTAATCACACACATCTCGATCCAGAAGGTAACATTCCGTGTTTAACAAAATAAGTAAAATACAACAGTATCAATCTTTCTTCTCAGATCCTGAATTTTGGAATTTCACTTTCTATGAAATTGCAATTTACGATGTTACAGCAACAGTTGAACACATCAAGAAGGTAACTGAGTTTGGTGAGTATAGTTCAGAATGCAGAATGTAAACGTTTTTAGAAACTTTCGATTAACTTGGGATAATTTTTTAAAATACATGTGTTTGATGCTTCTTTTTGTAGCTGAAAATGAGGTTTTTCATGAAAATTAAGTTCCAGTAAATTTTACCATTTTGCTTCGATTCTGGTGAATTTTACAAGCATTCAAACAGTATTTTTAAACAATTTGAGCTGTATTCTGAAAATTTGAGTATTTTTGAACGTTTCATCAGTTGATTTCTTCCATTTTAGATAAGATAATAATTATTGGCCATTCACAAGGAACCATCCAAATCATTGTCCAAATCTCAGTGATGCCAGGATTTCAAGAGAACTACGAAGTTATCATTCTTGCTGCACCAGTTGCATTCCTTGGTGATGTTGGCGGCTTTTATGGTGCGATGTTCAACAATTTTGTCATACGTTACCTGATGGGTCTGGACAATGGACCTTCACCATCTTCTTTGGCTACAACTTATAGTGCAATCACTGTTTTTTGTCGCAACAAAATGGCACTTCCATTATGTGAAATGTATCTGCAATCATTTGATGACTACAATCCAAAGGAACAAAATATTTCAAGAACCAGTGTATACTTGAGTCAACATGATCGAAGCTCCAACAAGAATTTAGTCCATTTATACCAATCTGTTGAAAGAGATCACCTGAGTTACTTTGATCATGGAAAAGGCGAAAATTACAATCTATACGGATCTGCTGAGCCTCCTGAGTTTCCATATTACAATATTAATCCAGAAAAATTGGTATTAATAAGTGCATTAAATGATAACACGGCCGATCAAAAAGATGTTCAAAAGTTTAGGAATTCACTTTGTGGTAAGAATCACGAAATTTGACCGGATAAGGTAATGAATAATCAAACCTTTTCATTTCATCCACAGACAGGCCTTGTGCTGATCACATAATCACAGATCCTTCATTTAATCATCTAGATTTTGTACAGTCGACCCAAGCATACAAATATTTTGGTAGCGTCGTGGTTGAGCTAATTGAACATTGTGGCGGCAGCATTTAATCTATAAACTCTGAACTCAATCATTAAAACTCTTGAATCTATCAAGTCAGAAATAAAACGACTGAAATTATTTCCATAAAGATTTTTGGTTAGACAAGTAAAGCACCAGCTATCTTGAGTGACACTTGAAATTGATCGATCAGAAAGGATAATGGATTACTCATCTCAATGAAGATATCTTACAATTGATCAATGCTAAAACAATATCCATTAAGATACCTTTTTCTATTAACCTGCTATGTGAAATTAGTTGGCTTTGAAAATAAGTAGGTTTTTCAATATTTACAAAAAATTCATTTCATTTTAAAGTGGTTCAATATTGCGGTCATCATTAAGACGATTATGATTAAATCTAATGAACAATCAAAAAATGATGACTGTGGATATCACCATTCGCGAGATATCGCGGTTCAAAGTTTTCAGGTCAATGGCCAAAATCAAGAGAGCTGTTGATAAATTGAAAAAAGTGTTCGATCGATGCTACTCAGCAACAATTTTTATCGACAAATAATAAGTTTCAGATCTCTAGCTATCATGGCCACAGATTGGCGGAGGTTTAACGGAAAATCAAAGTGATATCGAAGTAATCTTTTGCACAGAAACAGAGAATTTTATTTCCCAAAATAATTGCATTTTCTGTTTAGCCATCAAAAGTTACATGCGAAAAATAAGTTGTATGAAAAAATCTTGTCCCATAATTGAAAAAAAGGCGATCGAAGTTTACACTTTGACCTCGATTTTTTCGAAAACTGTCGATCGGAGAAAATTTTTAATACCACTAATGGACACAGTTTTTATGGGCCTACAAACTTACAAAGTTCCAACTCTTAACTCAAAAGTCAGAATTTTTACCCATACTCCTTTCCAGTCATTTAAATGATTGCAATGCTATATCCAAACGTTTACGATGCAGCGAAAGAATAACTGGAATTTATTTTGTATAACCTGTAATAAAAGCGTCATAAAACGAAAAAGTCAGAAACGTCCTTCTTTATTAGCAAAAGTTTTGTTCCTTAGAATAGAAATTCAGGAAAAATTAATTTCCAGGCAGATTTGAAACTTCATTCTGGATTATTTCGCTCACAAGTTTACTAAAATATGGATATGCTTCAATCGCTATTAAAAAATCCCCATGATTAAAATACGGATTTGCGATTATATAATCACCTCTAGGTTTACCTGTGGATAAAATGAAAAGATTTGATTTTAATAAAATCGAAAAAATGAACAAATTTTCGAAGACTTACTGGAAAAGGAATTCTTGAGATTTAGATCATTTATTGGAGTTGAAAGTTTATCGTTCAATGAACTTATCAATACTAATTTACTTGCGTTAATGTTTTCAAAAGGATACACAGGAGGCTCAGCAGATCCATAAACTTCGTAATTAATTTCCTCGCCATAATCAAATTGACTGAAGTGATCTCTTTGGATAGCTTGCAGCAACTGGATCAAATTTTTGTTTGAACTTCGATCGAGTAAACTTAAATAAACATCGGCTCTTGATCTATTTAATTGCGGGGAATCGAAACCAAGTATTCCTTCGAAGACTAACTCGCAAACGCCAATGAAAGCTGGCTGCTCACAAAACTCAGCAAGTGAACCATAAGTTATAGCTGAAAGTGGCGGAAAAGGAGCATTGCGCAAACTTAAAACCTTTATCAACAATTCTGTTGGAAGGATGCCAGCAAAGCCAGTTCTGTCACCAAGGAATCCAATTGGCGCAGCTAAAATGACGAGATCGTAGTTCTTTTCAAACTCGGGCATCAAAGAGAGTTGAATAAGCATTTGGGTTGTTCCTTGTGAATGTCCAACAACTATTATCGTCTCTGTAAGTAAATCAATTGATGCTAAAGTAACTTTGGGTGAGCAGAAATTTTCAGTATTCAGTTCAACTTGTTGAAATATTCTGTTCTAATGCCGACAAAAACTCACCTTATCCGTGACAATTAGACCAATCTAGAGAAACCAATTTATTAGCATGTTAAACAGATGTTT